TCCAGTCAATAACTGATTAAACCCACAATAACAGAATCACATTAGATGACCTCAGATGTACTTCATCAGATTCCACCACTTCTGAATAATGAAGGCCTAAACAGTCATTCGGCTAAAAAAATTGACAAAATTTACTAGTAAAAACATAACCTATTATAAAATTGAAGCATTTCACTAAATTAGCAGATTAATCTTCTCACTTATGTTAAAGGAACAACAAAACACAAGATCCGATTTACAACTATTACTTCAAAAAAAATCATTAAGTTTATCCTAGCCATGACTTTGTCTCTCAAGATGGGGTCTGCATGAAGAACTTTTGATGGTGCCTGGCTTTGTGTTTTCATTTACGCTTTCAAGCTCCATCATCATGAGTCTTTATAACAAAAATTTTTTTGTTTTTCAGTTGTGTGTTTAAAAATTGTGTGGCAAAAGCAGTGTCCATCGTGTTAGCTGTGGCATCATACTGAAGCCAGTCTCTCTGCACCATGCATCTCTGATTTGATTCTGCAACCTTTCACTGGACTGATGGACAGCAAGGGTCAAATCATCACTCTTACACAGCAACTTAAGCTTTGCATTGTGCTGCAATTTCAAAACAAATGAGGCTTTTGGCCAACTGGCTACTGACCATTATTTTTCTGCCAAAGCAAATTTTTACCCCCATTTAGCACTTGGCAGGTGTTTCTTTTGGACCTCCAGGAAGGGCAGTGAGTGCATGTGTGCGTGTGTATCTGTTCACACGCGTGAGAGAGGCGGATCCCTCCATCAAAGCCATCCTCACCACTGAGATTCCCCACCATTATTTTGTTCAAGCTGAAAACATCTGCACCTGAATCAATATTAAGTTGTATTACACAACGACAGCGATGAGACAGCTGTACAGCTGTACTGAAGCCACAACAACTTCTAGTCACATAATTACTTCCTCCGCACAGGTCATTAACCCTTAAAGCATTTCATCAACTCTGCTCATGAGTCTCCTTCAGGCTGATCTAAGAGCAGGAAGCACAGATTAGAGTTCTACTACTTGTTCCAGCTCCGCTGTTGTCTCGTCTGCTTCATACTAATAGAGAGCTGAGGAATGTGCTCTAGCCCGTCGCTGCGGCTCCATGTGACTGATGGTGAGTCAGTGTTGGGGTTATGGGGGTTGTGGGCTCTGGAGGTCAGTTCTATGCGAGGCTCGGCTGCTCCCTTTTTTCCCACAGAGACGCTGGGGCCGCAGGACTGCTCATTCCTGGGGGAGGTCCCGGCATTCCAGCCCAGGACACACACTCGCAGACCCTGCACAGCTGCAGCTGACCACGCCCCGACTCAGCATTCCTCCCACTGCCTTCAGTTTTTTGACTCTCTTTCTCTCCCTCTCTCTTTACTCCAAGTTAGTATCATCCGCTCCCTAAACTCCACGCTCTCTTTCTGCATTCAATTCTCCTCCTCCTTCAAATACAAGCAAACAGTGACCACAAGAACCCAGAAAATTTAAAAAGAGGGAAAAAAATACAAAGGAGGACAGTTGTTTAGGCCCCATGCATAATTCTTCTCCCTTCCCCCAGTTATAGACAGGACTGCATAAGCAAAGTGAAACAACCACTCAACGATGAGGTAATACAATACAGAACAGCTCCCTGCCTCAGTCCATCTCAGCAGCAGCTGACTGGTGGAACTGTGGAGTGTTATTTCATGCAGTGGAAGACAGGCTAGTTTGTTTGTTCTAAGCCAGGAGACGGAGACTGCTAGTCGCAGTGCAGAGACTGTCAGAGCCTGAGAGGTGACAACGAGGTGCCAAAATCGGAGACACGCTCCTGACTCTCAGAGGAACAGACTTGTCAAATTCTTTCTTTAAAATAAACATACACACTCTGTAGAGGAGTGGAGAATAACACATTCAGATAATCAGTTTGAAACAATACCAATGCTGGTATGAAAGGCTGTTCCAGGAGATGCTTTTCAGTATGACTTGTCTGTGCTCTATAGCTCTGACTCTGTGAGGTATGACAGCAATGTGGGAAATCATCTGGTGACCTGAGGTCACAGGGTCAGACCCTCAGCTGTGATATGCTAAGACATTAGAGTTTGCAATCTTTATTCGAACCCAACGGGATCCAACTGCTTATATCAGGTTCGGTTGTGTTTGGACGTTATCTTCAAAGTAAGCGTCAGGTCTGGGTGGGTTCAAATTTCACGCTTGGGTTCTCAGATCATGCCTCCCACTTTGCATAGATTTTACCAGCATCTCCCACTGCTTTAGTTTTTCTCCTTACTTCACTATTCCACTCTACTTTGATTGTCTTAAAATATTTTTTAATCTGGCATGCTGGAGTCACCTACTCGTGTCATTGACAAAGATCCACATGGTCCACACTTGTGAGAAAATTGATGAGAATTAATTCAGGAAAGTATAAACAGGTGCAGACACAAGAATGCTTTATTTGTTTGTTACATGTTTAGGAGTAACAGGTGAAGACGAAAACAGCGCAGTATGGAAAGTACATCTACACAAAAGTTTGAGATGTTTTTCACAAGCATAAGCAATTTAGTTACTTAATTTTGGGTGTTATATCATACTATATTTTATTTTTATTGTATTTGTCTATGATCTGATGACAGCTATTACTATTGTCACGTGGTAATTTAAACAGTACTACAATTAGAAATATCAGGTTTTGTTTGATACTGTGTGTGATGATGGGTTGGTTTGGGGAGGTTTCGTACAGAATTTTCTTGTACTTGGATCATTTTCGGATTAAAAACTGGTCTCAAACAGAATCTTGTCGGGCTTTGGTCACATCCAGACTCAAAGCACAATGCTGTATGTCTGGTCCTACTTGGACAGACAATTCTCAGCCTGTATTCAGGTTTGGACCATTATTTCAGGCCTGATTAAAGCTCTATATGAGAACAGAACTAGTCAGACATTCTCAGTTCTTAACCAAGAAAAATGGATTATTAGGCAGAATGAGGAATAAACCCAAGTCAAATCCTACAAATTTTGTCCTGTAATCCTGTTCTGTGCAAACAATGAAAAGTTAAACTGGTGTTTTTTTTCTAATGTACTCTGCAATTGACATCATATTATCCACACTCCCTCAGAGTTGATAACTGATTAAAATGTGGAACAAGCTGAATGAAGATGTAGACATTAACACAGAAAGTTTGGGCAGCCATCTTACATATTCAGTCAGTGGGTGAAGGAGTAGTCATCCATTACCCCATTGAGCTCTGATCCAATCATAGCTCATCACTCAGTACCTGAAGGGCCCAACAGTCTTTATGGCTGTCCAACTGTAATATTATAATCACATGAAAGAAGCTGTCTGTCATAAAAAAGACTAACTCAAATAAATCAAAACAGTATTTAAAAAAATATTTAGGAACAAATCTCACCAAAGAAGCCGTTTTAAATTTGGGCTGCTGTAGTGAGGTGAAGGGAGTGGTTTTGCAGAAATCCTCACATGCTCACTACCTAGCACTGTAGCACGGGAGGACCCACAGGAAGCTAAAAGACTGGCCTCTTCCTATATCGACCCCTAATCACAACAATGGAAGGCCCACCAAGCCACACAATGCTTACTCAACATCAAGCTCCAATTCTGAGAGCAGCCATTAGCTGCTGCCTAAATATCAGATATGCTAAAAAGGGTGTGGTGATTTTTTTTTGTGTAGTGTTCATTACTACATGAACCTGCTCTGCTTAAAATCATAAGACTTTGACTTTTATTTAACAAGTAGTATATAAAATTATGACAACAATTATTCTGAAAATAAAGCAGTGACAGTGTAAACATATGGGAGACTATATTACAATCCCTAAGCACATGTAAACACAGCTGTCCTTGATGCACTAGATTTCTCTTAAATTTGTATCTTTTCTAATATTATCTTGACTATGGTACTACATGGCATTACTGTCAAATTTCAAAATACTACAACTTTACTGAGGCTTCTTCATTCTCTTGAGCAGTTTTTCAAACTTAGTATTTCAAAAGCAGTGAGCTGCTGCATTCTTACAAGCTAATTAATTATTCGAGTCGCTGTTTTTTTCTCTAATTGTGACATGAATGAAGGCTAACTGGCTGGTGTGAACAAAAGTATTAGCTACTACCACAAGGATGTGTGATCAGCAACTGTTTCTAATAAATTAGAGCCACATGTTAAGTACCTACTGCGCTTATTCATTACCAGAACATCGCATCTCACGCCAACCTACAATGGTATAAGGGTGTTATAATGCTGTATTCTGGTGATTAAAATCTTCTTGCAATAAGGAAGTGCTATGAAAATGACATCATGTAAAAAACATTGACATACATTTATAGTTTATAAGCATGTTATGATCTATAATGGAACATGTACAAATAAGAAGACTAACAAATGTTCCCTTTTAAGATGGTCAAGAACATTTTTGTTCACAGTAGTTGTGTGATGTAGATGAGTTTCTGTAAAAGTGTAATAACACTGTTACAATATGCTTTATGCCCTGTTAAACTGTGCTGACCATCTCTTATGGTCTGAAGGGGTCTTTCCACAAGCAAACAATTATTTACTATCTTTAATGCTGCTTTCAGGCTCCACACACACAGACCAGAGCCACTCCACAGATGTAGCATGAAATTAACAACCTAGAATAGATCACTTCCACTGAAGCCACTCTGAGTCTGAGTGCCTGGGGGCCTCAGAACATAATCTCTGAAAGTTCTTCATATAGCACCACTAATAGAAACATAAATTGTGCAGTGTCTTGAAACTTTTGAAGTGACTGTAGAAATCAGAAACACCATTCCCTACAATCACAGACGCAGCCCAGGAGCCACATTTTGAATTCATGTAGCGAGGATTCACCAGACCGGCTTTCCAAGAGTCATCATTCTATCCTGTCCACCTTTCTGTCAAGAAGCTCAATTGTCAGTTAAAAATTGACTTTATTCCAGGAAAGCAGTCCCACATGGGCCTGTGGGTCAGATGCAGGCTGACCGGTGTTTAAATGCATCCTAAAGTCTTACCTGTGTACATAGTGGAGTTGATGCACAGAGTCAATTGCCAGCACCATCTCAGCCAGGTAGAAACGGGCCATATCCTCAGGCAAGCGGTCCTCAAACTTACTCAGCAGAGTCAGAAGATCGCCGCCCACATAGTAATCCATCACCAGATACTGTAAGATACAGACTTGTCAGAATCCATGGTTTTGCACAGTCAAGACAGGCTACCTATTATTCATGTTACTGAACTCTTACAAACAAAAAGTAAGTATACACCAACGCAGGAATTCTTGGCCAAATGTTGATATCCAATATTTTCCATGTGCATATCTGTCAATGATAATGCAGATGCAGATACAAAAATATAAAAACTTAGAAATAGGGTTAGGGTTAGTTCCATCCAGGCCCAATTTCTACAACAATGCAGCCATTTAAGCACAGTAGCCCAGTGTCGCCTAAACGTTCTGCTCTTCGAGAATATAATAAATGTGTCATTAAACATCAGCTTGAATTTAGGGCTACACGATATTGACATAAAATGCGATGTTCGATAAAGCTGTTGGATATTACGATGATATGAGAAGTGGTAAATTACTGTTCAAATAATGTGTCTCTGGCTTTATGTAATGCAAGTGCAGACATTTTCTGGGATGTGTAAGCAGAAATCTAACTAACCTCTCTTTAAACAAATAGCAAAATATAAAATTACAAAAGCACCATTTACTATTCTGCAAAATAAAAAGAAATTAAATTCTAACAACTGCTTACATCAGAACTGCAACCATATTTTTGTGCACTGAAAGCCTAGCCTATGTGCTGCATGTTTTCCCCTTTGAAAGAGTTATGAGAGAGAGTTTTGTTAAAACTTCTGATGAATCAAAAGATTGCCTCTCCCATACAGCTGTTGCTGCTTACCAGGAAGTTGTCATCTTAAAACACACAGTGCAGTGTGGTGATCCACTGGCTATCCTCTTTCACCAGTGCATCACGCTCCTCCCGAAAATAGGCAAGTTTTGAACTTGAATTTTCATGAAAGCTGAGTTATGGGCCAATATTTTAAGGTCTGCAAGTGTGTGTTTTGTAGTTGGCCATTTGAATTGGCCAAATGGTTGAGCTACTCATCTGCCACATGGGACAGCAGGGTTCGGTCCTAGCGCAGAGAAGCAGGCTTGTAATATTTGTTGCCAGTTATGTAACAATGTCTCTCGAGTGCTGCATAATGTTAGATTGAGACACTTCTGTGATTACCAGAGTTCAATCTGAGGCATTAATACAATCAACTTGTGTACCTGTCTGTCCCAATCACACCATTCATTCACACAGCACCATTAAATTAGCTTGAAAGAGTTATGATACAAGTTTTGTTATAACTTCTGACCAATCAGAAACTGCCACTCCCACACAGCTGTTGCTGCTTACCAGGAAGTTGTCATCCTGAAATGCATAGTGCAGTGTGGTGATCCACTGGCTATCCCCATTCACCAGAACATCACGCTCCTCCCGAAAACATGCAGTCTAGAAACAAACATACAAAAAAAAAAAATGTACTCACATTCAACCATAAATGACTTGTAAAACATTTCTACAAACTACACTGAATAACAAATTACAAAACAAATTACAATGCTTATCAACTGTCCCTTATGTCTGCAACATTTACAGCAACAAACTGACCTCAGCTCTTTTCAGCATCTCCCATTTGTTGAGAATCTTCATGGCAAACACCTTGTCTGAATTCTTCACCTTTACAACTGCTACCTGTAATACACAAACAGGAACACAAAAGCATAGCAGGTTACAGCCACAGAGAGGTCAACACAAGAAATTAGGGTTTTTATGTAAATTAGTGTAGATAAGATAAATCTCAAACTTGATGGAAATCTACAGGAAGAATGTACTTTGCATTTTTGTCTTGTTTGCTAAAATATTCTGTTGCAAATACGGCAGAAGACTGACAGCAGTGCCATCTGAGCGTAAACCTGGAGTTACACTGCATCTCAGGTTACTGCAGGCATGCATGCTCTGGCTGAGGAGACATTAGCAGACAGGAAGCTCAGAAGCCAGGAGAGCTAAAGCTGAGAAAGAATGACTAAGTACTGAAATACAGACTTTCCTGTCAGCATCAGACAAACAATCAGGTAGCACTGCTTATGTCATGTCACTGCTGACCATACCAGATAAAGCTGTACCAGTTAATATCCTTTCCATGCTCTTGCACAGCTAGATGGAGTACACAGAATATCATAATAAGATAATACTCCTTGTGAGCAAGGATTGGTGGTGTAGGGATATTACTCTTGAGAAACCACCAAGAATAACCTTAGCTGACACTACAATGAATCAGCCCCTTAGAAGGACACTAAATTGGTGGTATGAAAGTGTTACACCAAGTCTATAAAGCCATTTCTTTAGTTTATCTAGGTAGCTCCTACCCTATGTCCACGAAAAACCATGAACTATGAACTTTCCTTGCTAATGAACGCTCCTTTTTAACGAGAGAAGCATAAGCAGAACCTCAAATTCCCCCCACTGTCACAGGAAATACCTTCAGACGTTCAGCGGAACGCCCCATGTTGGTGTCTTAAAAGAAAAATAATTAATTCATCCTCGATGCTACTCAAACAATTCACTTCTTGCTCTTCCTCTGTTATCAGAGTGTCTAGAAAAAAAAAATGTACTCTGTCTGAAGGTCCTACCATATTAAAAATTATATGTTTTTTTTTTTGTCCAAAAACATCACACCTGTTGTTAATATGCCTTTTATCTTACTAAGAAAAATCACAAAGTTCAAGGAACAGGATTTGGAGATTGACTCAAATGCCACAGCTAGTCATTTCACTGTACTATCTAAGTAGGAACTACAAGGAGTGGGAGATCAAGCATAAGACTTTCTGGTCTTTACGATTTAACATAACAGTTCATTCTTTTGGCTGTAAACTTGTGAGCTTGGTTGTACTTTCACTGTTAAAAGTGGAAAGTCAAAAACAAAGTAATTCAGACTGTCAAGTACAAACATTCTCTGGAAATGGTATTTGACTTCTTTGAGGCTCATGTTTACAACATAAAGAACCCTCTCATTTATCTCCCTTACAATTTAAGAGACAGAAAATTTGAAGTGACTCAAGAAGATTTCCAGAACAAAAATCACTTGAAAGCAATTTGTCAAATAACTAAACCCTTCAGTCACAGTGAAGCAGAGCATCGATTTGTTCAGCCAGAGATTTCTTGGTATGCTTTAAAAAAGTCACTATCATAAAATGCTCTGTATCAGCTTCTGTCAACACAACATGTATAAATCCAGGAATCTATACATGAAACAAAAAGTACAAACAAATACAGTAAGGAAGAAAATAGGATTAACATTCATTTTAAACTACAAGTGTCCAAGTGAAACAACAATGTGATTCACTCCCTGCGTCTTAATAAGCCAAAACAAGCAGTCATTGAGAATTCTGCACATTCCAGTCAGTGTGGGGTTACTACAGTTAGCTTACAGTCAACTTACTTTGCACCTCTTCTCTTTCCACTTCTAAGCTATATTCACTTCCTGACAAATATTAATGTTTTAAAACTTTAAAGTGTTTGCAAAAACTAAAGATAAGCTTTAGATAGAATAACAGATAAACAGACAGAGAAAGGGAGGCATGCAGACAGAGCGAGAGACAGTGAAGCACCTTCAGTTCAGCTACAAACAGCTCAAAACCTCCACATGGCTACTGCAAAGCAACTAATAAAACAGTTACAAAAATCAAACTATGGTTCAAGGATGACAGCTACATCATTCTCTAACTATCTACAGTAGCATAAAGTTTGACAGTGGTGAAGACTAAAAAAAGAATGATGGGAGGCAGGAAAAAAAACAAAACAAAAATAGAGCAACATCAACAACATTCCTGCTCCACTCAGATTCCCTCGAGGACTGCTTCAGGATCAAAATGTCCTTTGCATTTTTGTTTGCTTCTAAACGCTTGCCACTGCTGAACCTAAATAATACAAACGGCAACAGCCTTCCATCACATTATGAAGATTATGTTTTATGTAATTAGTAAACAATCATTACAATCAATACATAATTATCAATCAGAATGTATTTGCTGAAGAACATTGTTCTAACTAGGATAAAGTAGCTTGCAGCAATAATAACTCTTAGTAGGGGTGCAACGATCATAATTTTTTTATGGCTGACTCCACTTTCTTTATAGCCTAGTTGTCCAATGTTTGGGAAGATTTTCTGAGTCGTTTACAAAGCAACAGCAAGAAAGACAATAAGTTTACTTATTTACTTTTAACCCAAAGTACACAGTTTATAGGCTAAACGAACAACACTGATACGAAACAGTCCAAACAGATGTATGGATGCGCACACACTTCAGGTGAAGCTTTTAGAGGAGCATACATTTTCACAACAGAACATGGCCACGTAATCTTGTTCTTATAGCCTTTACAAATGTATCAGATTTTAACCTGTGCAGCATAGAACAGGATGAACTGCACAAAGGCATGTGTATGTGCAATCATAAATTAGGTGCACATTAAAGTACCTGACCCCAAATGTTTCTAAAGAATCTGATTTTGGCTAATAACATGCTTGGAGGATTGCTAACATGCTAACGGGCTCCTCCACCAGTATTCAGATACAGGCTATAGGCTGAAATGTTTACTGAAGAACTGTTAAACAAACATATAAAGTAAAAAGTCTATTACATGTTAGAGCCCGACTAATAAAGTGGTGTGCCAATATAAGCTAATTGCAGATAAATCCTTATTGGCCCATGAATGACAATTAAAAAAAAGAAATGGAGAGACTACAGATGGGTCCTTACTATTTGGAATACCACAAATCACATTTAAGGTGGAACAGGAAAATTCAAACAACATATTCTTATAGCCTCAATCACCTTTTCAGAGGTTAAGTAGTAATACTAAGCTGAGTCTGTACTGAATTTAAATTAAAACGTTACTACGCTATACTAATGACATACACATGCTTGGCAGGACCGCTCTATGGGTAGGACGAATTGTTAAACCAGTACTGTCAGGCAAACATCACAATTACCCTACGTTTAATGTTACAGTAGTTGAGTGGTGTAGGCTAAGCTGTGGACAAACTTCATTGTTGATTTACCTAGATTTATTTATGAAAGTGTTTTATGATTTATGATTACTACTATTTAATGAAGTGTTCATAATTGCATGAAAAAAATTCAAAGACAACGCTTTATGGTAGTTGTGCTACTAGGTTTTGGAGATAACTGAAAATGGTATGAAAAAGTGGTGCTTTGCATGAATGACAAAATAGTGCCTCATTGGTAGGGGTGGGCGATACGGTGAAAATATTACGTCATACTTCAAGACATATGCATCACAATATTTAGTTTTTTTCTGCGATTTAATAAGTTTTAACAGACAAAATAGAACCTGTAGTGTAACACATAAAATATTATAGCCTAATAATAATAACAACAAACCTATACCTACAATAATTATATTTAGTGTTTTACTAACTGCACTGCACTAAATACAACTGAACAAGCCTAATCATGCTCACTTTGTAATATAACAATCAGTGTTTACTAGTATTAATGTAATAAATACTAATGAAATCCATGACATGCTCAGAAAAGTGTGCTGTGACAATTTAATAAATGCAGCACCCATGTCCCATGTACAGCTGGCTTAGAGGTCTGCTTCATGACCTGAGCCCAACAAGGGGTCAAAATATAGGTGTACAAAATAACAGGTTCACTCTCTTGCCTGTGCAGCTTCTCTCTACGGCTGCATTCAGAATTTAGATTGTGCACCCCCAGCTCTTAGCTGACTGTACGGCAAAAAATACTATGCTAATGAAAAACCTTATCACCCAGTTTGGAATTCTGTACCCTGTGGTATGAAGATACAAGACCAGTTTGCAGAATAGCAGCACTCAAGTAGTAATCATGAACGAGTGTAAGCAAAAAACAAGCAAATGCTCTGCTGCTTCTTGTTGTCATTATCAACTTGGCAGTTCATCAGAGGACACTGAGGGTCAGTTTCCTGGACAGGGATTAAGCCTTGTCATGGACTACATTTTTTTTCTTCAGTGGAAAATCTCCATTGAAAATCTTGGATAGTCTAAGATTAGGCTTTTTTCCCTATGAGCGATCTGGACAAAAAGTGTACTGGAGAAACGCAGTGTGCTTGAAGCACCAGCCTAAAACCAAGTTGAACAAACCAAAACTTGTGTGTTTCAGATTGGTAGGCTCTCTAACAATCTCTGTCCAACAAATATGTATTAGATCTGGTACTGTAACAAAGGTCGTTATATTGTGTGATGTTAGTATTATCATTTTCATGCAAGATGCCACACTCTAGCATCAAAGAGACTGAGCTACAATCAAACCATTATGAAGGGAGCACCGTGACTTTGACAACATCTGAATGCTACCTCTCCAGGCAGGATGATGAAATGGAAAAATATCCATTTGCACCCAAAGACAGAAAGGCACATCACATCCCTGGTTTCTGAACTGTTTTCTGAGCCTCAAAGCCCCCAAACACTTGTTATTGTTATGATTAAGGAATACAAAATGAAAAAAAATCTTACCAAATGACACTTGCTCATCACCATTTCACAGTTTTCAATTAATGATATGACCTACTGAATGATCATTTAGAAAATGTCAGTTTGGACAGTATCCTTATGGACATTTACACTTCAAACAAGGTATGTTGACAAAGAATGAGTGCCTACCTCCCCAAACGCTCCTCGGCCAATCACTTTTAGGATTTCAAAGTCCTCCCTGTGCAGTCTCATCTGCTTCACCTTTGATGTGAATGGTTTAGCTAGAAAAAGGGAGAATGGCAAACGGTCATTACAGATGAAATTCATATCCACCATCATATGCTTTTACTTATCATAGCTTTACAAATACTGCTACTTAGTGAATAACCGCAAAGTGAACAGTTATAACCCATTTTTAAGCGAATGCTTGATATTTAGTTGAATTGGTGATATTCATTTATTCCAGCTCTTTTAGTTTTTAACCACAGAATTGAATGGGAATTAAGAAAAAAAAACCTGAGCTAGTTCAAATGTCTCGTTATATGTAATAATAATAATAATAAAAAAAACGCTAAGCATTACAGCAAAATATGAAGCACTGACTTATGGTTGTCTATGCTTTTATAAGGTCACCACCTCAACAACTCAACCATGTCACTTGATAAGCTGATACTGTATCTGAATGTAACCTGAATGTAACCTTCATCTACAGCTCAGCTCACACCTACAGCTCATGTTCAGACAACAGTGATCAGTCCTTTAAAGATCTCCCACAACGTGATAACACTGATCAGCCCCTCAAGGATCTCCCACAACGCTCTACTCATATCTCGTGTAAAACCATTCACTGATCATGCAGTAAAGAATGCAGCCTTCCTCCCATGGCCTTAGTGAATGTCACATGAGAAACATGGTCATGTTATCCTCTCTAGACTAACATGCAACACAGGATTCTGTGTGTTCTGTAATACTACGACAACATGATGCACATTCACTACACTGCCTGCGGCACAGGTGTACCATTTCCATTATCTGAATCAAGTGTGTTACTACTGGGTTCGTACTCTGCAGGTAGGAAACCCTCCAGAAATGTTAGTGATCAATGTGGATCACAAATACAAAAATTTGAGTATTATTCCTTTTAAAAAGGTAGGGAACATCTGACAGGAGTGAGGTGTTTCCCTGACTTGTGCTTAAGTTAATACACTGTAATGTATGCACTGGAATATTAATGTGCAAATAAGTCAGAATTCCCCACAGGCTGTACTTGGACTAATTAAGGAAAAGAAAATACTGACATGAGTCTGGATAACCATTTATATTATTATATGTCCACTCCCCCACAGATGTTCCCTCCACATATATTTCAGACCTGTAGGAAACACTGCAAGTACAGCTACAGACTAACGCAAATTTCTTTTCTTTCTTTTGTTTCTGCGGAAGCTTAAAGAACAAACCGCCAGCTGCAATTACTAGCCTAAGCCCTGATTTCAGAGCAAAAAAAGAACCCATAGCGCAACAAATCAAAGAGAAATGAAAACTATTCACAACAACATCAAACAAAGCCTCTTTGAAGTCAGAATGTCCATGCAATGATAGTGTTATTGTCAGACTGTCTTTCTCACTCACAAAACATCTCCAGCATACATTAATTACTGTTCTTCAGTGTGTACATCCGTGTTTCACTCTGTAGCCGAGGAGGCATGTGGCTATAAATTAAATGAACCATACTGTCCATCTCTTGGGATGCCCTACAACTAAAGGCCATATAAAGGCAAAGGAACAGGAGGAGCAGTAAAACACTACTTCCATAGAGGGTAAGAATCTCTTAAAGTCACTGAGCAACTACAGCATACTGCAAAAAAGGTTATGCAATTAAGTGGATAAGTCACATCCACAGCTGTTGAAAAAGAATCCTAGAAGGTCTATGAGCTTGCGTTTTTATGTGTTGGATATTAACATATAACGCATTGGTATTAACATAATAACAGTAGTTAAAATTGTGACTCTGGTCCCTAAACAAAAGCAAATTATGCGCACTTTTGAGCAGTCTGACTACATGATAGCCATGTAACAGTGTCTGCTGTTACTGTAACTCTAACTTTACAACAAATTACCAACACCAGTCACAATATATATTTAAGGTAGCTCACTTATTAATTTCATTAATGGTCTAGATTAGACCAAAAGGCACCTTTACAACCAGCAAAATTCTAAAAGTACACAATTCTGCCTAAAGTTAGGCAACACCCAGTAACTCTAGTGACATTCTATTTTCTTTAGATGTGGGTTCTGCGTGGGTCAATTTTATGTTTGTGTTTATCTATATTAGACTCTTTATTCCATCAACCATGTTTAATCTACATTCTCCCTACAATTTTCTTTAGTGCAAAATAATCCTGAATTATGTGATTTACTTAAATTCAAAGTAATTCTTGGCTTGAACAAAAAAAGCCATGATTGATAGCTCAATAAGATCTCACTGTCACTTGCCCATCAAGACAATCACCCTTCTTGAAATACCAGAAGACAGTTGTCAGAGACTATTCATCCAGTCAGCATTTTCCATTAAACAGTTGGGCTATAACAAGGATGAGGCCTGCTCTGCATCAGCTACATGCACAGATCTATGCATGCGCTTTCAGCAATCACACAACTGTGTGATTTACCAAGGATGTAACATTCATTAATAGCCACACACACTTATTTTTTAGTATCTAGTAGTGTCAAAGTTAAGGAATGAATAACATGCTAACACAATAAACTTTTAACAGCACTAAATTTTTAACGCTGTTAACACAAACTATCCATACTGTCAGCTTAAGCCTAGCTTGTTGCACACTATTTCTGCTCAAAACGGCAAGTTCAACTGGTGACTCTATTGATAAAAAGTCATTTTCAGTTACTGCCATTCTATGAATTTGTTTATCACTGAAGTACATCAAGCCCAAAGTTTAATTTACAAGCAAAACACACTGCCAATGAAAGCAATACCAATGATACAGATACCATGAAGCAATTTCTCGGGCACATACGTGCTACTGAGTGATGTGTGTATGCGTGCCAGTTAATGCACCTTAATTGAAGCAAGCAACACTGTGATAGTATGGGGTTATTTCACATTTAAGACCAGTGAAGAAAATGCTCACTGCATGAAATCTATAAGCCAGTATTTAAAGAGAAGGCATTAGTAGTGGTCAACATACCAGTTAAAATTATTCCTAACATATTAGTCAAAAATAAACACAGATAACACAACGTACAAATAGAGCAATATAACGTTAATGTTAGCCCTTTAACTGAATGGCTGAATCAGGGATCTTTAAGCAATCCCTCATCTCCTGCTATGTACTTAGTTGCAGTCTAGTGTAATGTTAGCATTGTTTGTTTTAATCAAGGGAGTGAACATTAAAGAGATACACAGAAAGAACCACCAGTCTCTTGGGGTAACAGTAGCCTTTAGCATAGGATTAGCTTAGCAGCCTGCTAGCCATGCTATTGTTTCGTCTAGCACTGCCTGTTGTGCACCTGCATCAGACAACAGAATGGTATGTGGCCTGGCCTTGCATCAACATCTGCTAATGTTGTAAAAGACTGTACTATTAAACTCCAGTGGTGACGGGTAGAACATACGTCAATGGAAGCGTGACTGTGTGGGACGTACATATGAGCCAAGTGACTTGAGTAATTTGGCAATCAAACAACATATAGGAGCTTTTTTTTGCCAACTCCAGAGAAGCTGCGTCATGCTTACATCTATACATAGGTTTTAGGTTTATCTACGTACTGTTCAGTACTGTTTTACTATTTAAGTTAAGGGGCATTTTCAAATAATAAGCTACAGTTAACATACAAAAGTAGGTTTTGTGTGTTTTCCAATTAGATTCATTCAAGCTTAGTTTGTTTTATTTGTAACACAAATCACTATTTTTACTGAAATAAAATATTTAAAAAACCAAAACACAACAAATATCAAGACATAATGGCACCTATTGAGTAGTTAGGTTACACAAAGTTAGTATCGGTATTGGTACTTTGTATCGACAGATACTTAAGGATCAGGTATCGGTATCTGTATCAGTATCAACAGGGAAAAAGTGTGTAGTCTAATACCAGTAACATTAGCCCTGGTGAACACCTTTGGCAGACAGAATCCAGACTATGCTGGACAGTGCTCATGGAAGACCTAAGGCTTATTCAATAACCCACTAACTAACCAATAGCAGCAGCAAAGTGAAAAAGCAACAGTTCCCCTTGAAGAAAAACATAGCATAGTGATGCGAGTGAGAGGTGACAACTGCAGATGAGTTGGAACATGCAGCCACGTTTGCTCTCACTGGATGTCAATAATGAAAACTGAAAACTGTGTTCCTTATTTTCTTGTTCGCTCTGCATGGGTGATTTTATTTATTTATATATTTATTTATGTTCAATTGAATTACTAGTCAGTGGTGTAACTGTACTGTCCTACAGCGAACTCACCTCTTTCCGTACATCCTAACCGGCTTTAGCAGCGTTAAATCACAATCACAATCCTCACAACTACAGCACTGTTACAGCACTCGGACAGTCATATTTAAGTATGAGTGCATTCCCAAGCAACAAAAGTGGAAGAAAAAAAGTAGTTCATGTAAATTACAGCCCTGATTTAAACGAAAGTAAACTGAGGAAGCTGTGAGGCATTGGAGAGCGGGAGAGCGCTAGCTTTCCAGGCTAGCTGTTTTTAGCAGCTGGCTAACTTGAAGCAGCTCTGTCACTCACACAACACGGAGAATTGATGATACTGTAGATCAAACACGACACAAAAGCACCGCTTTCAGTTTAAACGTTCCTAAAAAGAGGACTCCGTTTGTCAGGTGTTGATATTTTGCAGTTCACCACTTAAACTACTACGATAGTATAGAGAAATCCAGTTGTCGCTAGCTGGTGTCTGAATACTGTGATGTAACGCTTGTCACCAGCTAAAAATAATCTTTCTTTATTTTTTATATTGCTTTTCCAGCTGGTAGAAACAGCTCACCAGACACTTTCTCCCACTCTCCCATGACAGATTTGTGAAATGTTCCAGTTTGGTGAGCATTTGTCGTGTTCCGACCATAAAGGAAACTTTTTACATTTATCGTGGTATGTATCGATATCGAACGATATGAATTTCGTTTATCGTGATAACATTTTTGGCCATATCCCCAGCTCTAATATATATATATATATATATATATATATATATATATATCAAATTTGAGGGATAAGACAAATGTAACTAATGATTAACAACACATTAGTTAACAACACAAACTAATGTGGTTGATCACAATTATTTTAATCATTTTTACAGCCCTAGTTTTAAGCATTTTAGTGGTCTTTGATGCTACACCTCAGAGTCTGAAATATGAATGTTATACAATTCACTCACATAACTTAAAGGAAATGTAACAAATTCAAATTTTCATAGGGCTAAAGCAGTTTGTCCTATATAAAGCCAAGTAAATGCAGAACCTCTAGCTAATCCTTGTCAGAGAGCAACCTTTCCTTTAAAATTTACATGGTACAATGCAGATTTTACAAATGTGTGCTCTTAAAGCTTACAATACTGTACACATATTAGCCCTCACTGTTATAATTTATATTTGAATCATTACTCAGACAATGGGTAATTATCAGCCCCTATAGTTATATCCTCTGTAAACTCCTTGTGCTTTTATTAGTAAGAAAGTGATGGGTGTAATGCACTTTACATTTACAATGAAGTTCATAGCAAAGAAAAAATGCCCAGTTTTGGTACAAACAGGGATGGTATCAAGAACGGGTACTAAATTGATACCAGTTCCTGACTGGTCAGTACCAAAATACTGATAAGCTCCTGGATGGGGCTACGATACCCATCCCTATGTATAAAAAAGAAAAAAACATTTCCTCTGAGCCTAATAATGTCAGACGTTGTGGTCACATCACAGTCACTCCTTCATCTACAGCCAGTCAGCAAAGCTAAAAGTCAGTAAAGCATGACATCGCTGAAGCACGTGGCTATCACAGGGTCATGACAGTGATAACAAATCTGGCTGACAGATGGGATGCAAGTTCGAGCTTGTTCCAGCACAGTCCTCAACTCTAGGTTAATAGTGCTGTGAGAGGATCACAACAATTTAATAGTATTTTTCAGAAAGGAATGTAACCAACGCAGCTTTTTAACTCATGTGAATGCAAGTAGTTGGAAATAAAATAATTAACCCCAGCAGTAATGCAAATGTTTCTGCTAAAAAAAGACATTAATTACAGCAGCACAGTCCACACATATTGGGTAAGAAGTAATAACTAACTAAACTTTCCAGTTTATTATAGTGGAATACAAATCACAAATGCCATATTTAGTATAGGTGAAGCTTTGCCTATGAGGAATGCTGTGAGAATAAGAATAGCTCCCTTGAAGAAAACGCTGTTTATAATTTCCACTGAACCTAACCAAAGTCTCAACCTTTGACTTTTAGAGCATAAACAAACTTCTCTAAAGATTTACTCTCACTTGTCCAAGAAAAAGAAAGCAACTTGTCAAACAAAGAGTTTATAGCTTTAGCCTAACTAATGGACTATTATAGTGAGATGAAATCTGCGCTGAATAACAAGGTAGCAAATCACCATGTATAGGCAGATCTGAAGCACAGTTGAAGTTTTGTCTACACAGAGTAACTTGGTTTATTAAAAACAACTAAAATAACACAAAAATATGCAGCTTTTCCTAAGCATATAATTTAATACATGAATATATTATGAATCTTAACAGATATTATCCACATCCATGGTAAAGTACTGACTGCACCTCCAGGACATTTTAGAGGTGCTGATGACTCTTAAGAACATACAGTAGTGAAAGTTTATGAACGCTTTAAAAATCATTTATATTTCTGCATAGTTCCTAAAACATAATCTAATTTTCTTCAGGGGGTTATCACTCCAGTCCTGGGGACCCTCTCGTCTGCATTGTTCATCAGTACCTAATCCAGCTCAAGAAAGGCTTGATAATATTAGTTGGTTCAGGTGTGTAGGAAAAGAGAATGTCAAACTGTGCAGTACAGTGGATTATCACTCGTATTTCTTATTCCCACCAAAATCTGTCATGTCAGAAATTTTTAAAGGATGTTGCACTCCCACATCAGTAACACAAGCCACAGAAATAACCCTAGGTTATATTAATGCTATGAGAATAGCAATGTCTGTATATGTTCCATAAAATCCTGTGGAAATGGAGTTTTTGCAGTTTTTCTGAAGTATAAAGGAACTGAAGGAAGCAATTACTTTTGCTTTCTGTAGCCCGATTTAAACCGACAAGTGGTGTCCTACCTCAAGTTTACAACTCCAAACATTAAAACATGACAGAAAAAAAAAGTTTGACATTGACTGTTGGCTGTAAATTACCAAGCTAATGGCAGTGCTAATGACATGTTGCATTCAGTTAAGATAACCAGGCAGATGGTTAGCGTAAACAAATTTTGATTAATTAGATGTCTGGGAGCGTTTTCATGTACTGCTTGCGAGCAGTTTAATGTATTGCGTATGGAACTTTTTTTTGGTGTGATGATAATGTGTAAATTAGACAGCCATTCTCATCTCTGTAATTTACACAATCGAGCCTTTAATGGCACTGAAGGAGTATGTGAACGTTCAGTATAATTGTTTCTTGAAAAAAGGATCATTAGAATTGGATATTATAATCAGTTCAGGCGTGAATATGACCTGTCCCAACATTTAAAAACAGAATTCTGTTAAGGTGCAATATAACTTGATCAAAAGAGATATAAAAGGACTGCTTATAAGAGCAGTAAAGGTTACCAAAAAAAAAAAATACTAAAACTTGGGCTTCCATCAGCCCTCAGACAGACACTAACCCCATTCCCAAAGTTTTGTGTATTTGTTTGCGCATTCATATGCTTTCTGGTATGTGTACAACTGTGTCCCATCTCTCAAATTTGCAATAATGCCCTGGACAAGACCACACTAGACCCACTTTTCCCTTTTTATCATGTTTTGGTAATATCTGGGATGCGTACATATCCGCACCAGAAACCGCAAGTGTGAACATTGGGACAGAGCAATACTTTATAAATGACAGAAAATCAGCACTGACGCTACTCTCTCAAGAATTACACAAAGATCAGAGTAAGGACACTGTAGATTCCTCAGGAAATTCTATCAGGAAATTCTGTTGCAACAATGTTAGGTGGGTCATTTCAACTCAAAAGACATTGGGTCATGCAACATGACAACGATCCAAAACACTACAGTAAATAAACAGTGACTACAACAGATGAAATTCCTTATTTTGATCCTGACCTCAATCTCATTTAAATGCTGTGGGACGATCTGAAGCTGACTTCTCAAGCAAGACAGACCCAAAATACACATGAACTAAACCAGTTCTTTAAAGAGGAATGAGCACAAATACTGACTCCTGCACAAGACAGATATGAAGCCACGGAGGATCATACAGGAGGTCCCACTAGTTACTAAATACATGCTCACTTCTTTGTTTTCTTTTTCCTCAACTGTTTAAACTATTTGTCTAATAGGAATAGGACTGCAGTTTGTTTGATTAAACAGCACTTTCTATAATAACTTAAAACCAAATAACTCCAAAGTGTTCACAAAAAAATCCTCACAACTGTACCAACGTGGTTCTGAAGACAGCATGAAAATAATGTTCACACCAAGAAAGTACAGTAGTCATAATTTACCCAATTTCTTGAAATATGATTTTTCGCATTTAATGAATTATATCTGTGGATCACATTGTACGATGAAGACATCTAAAGCAGTAAAAATGTGTCGTACTATTAAAGATCCATAAGAGGGGGCAAAGAATGATGGGAGGGGGCAAAAGTAATTTAGCCATTCAGCAGCAGCGTGTTCAGAAAATGACGACGCAGTTGTCCCACTCTGACATTCTGAATTTTGTCATTTACCAGTAATGTGTGCATGTGGTCCATTCTGGCTATAAAGAATGCAGCACTCTTTGATGTTTCGCACTCTAAACCTACGTGAACAAAGCCAATCGCATTAACTTCCATTTCGGAGTCCTGATTTCATTCGCTACACTTACCCCACTCCAAGAACTCGGCTATATTCTTCTCTCTTCGTAGCGGAGAGTTGTTGCACTCATCGAAAAGGCAAACCAGAACATCCAGAAGAGTTTCAACGCTGAAACACTGTCCATTAGACTGGACGGGGCCGTCGAGGACCATTTTTTCTAGCTTTTTCAAACGAACTTCCCCCGACATGGTTCAAACGAGGGTAGTCCCTGTCTTATTCCAAAATGTGAGAGAATATTCTTGCAATTGAAAACAATAACATGAAAGGTGGTCAACGAGCCACGTCGATGGTGGGGCTAAGCAGACAGCTAGCTTAGCCACATAAGAAAACAATTCATGACCCCATTCATATGCAGCAGCAAACCATTGTGCGTCCAAACTACATTAGCTAGCAAGCTAGCTATGTCGGCTTGCGAATCACTTAGCGTCGCTAAAAACTTTCCGCTACATTTTCTGAAAGTTTGTTTGAGCCTCAAGCCAGTCGGCAAATTTTAATTATGTGCCATTGAAACAAACTGAAATGTCCTTTGCACTGTCAGAACCGACACCGATCTTCTAACGATAGTCAATAACTGAACTATAGCCTGGCGATTAACTTGACCACCACAACGCCTCAGTTCTTAAGCAGCATTGGTTTATAACCAAACACTGAGAAGCTGCTCATTATCAAACGTTAGTGTCTTGTCAAGATTTAAAACTGGACATCAACTCTACCTCAGCTGCAGTGGTGGCAAACGGCTAACGTTAGCTAACGTATCCCTGCAGCAGAGTAGCATACACTAGGTGGCTAATAAGCTCGCTAGCGGTATGACTGCTTGAAAACTAAAAAAAAACACGAAGGTAAGTATCGATTACTTAGGTAACCAAAAGGACTAACTATTTTGTTCAGCTATTATTTAATATAATAAATCCACATATGAGACGTTAGCATTAACGTGAACCACAATAACGGCGCACTGTAGCGAACTACGGTTAGCTAACCACAAAGTTAAGTTCTAGCCGACAAGCTAACACAGGGCGACAAACCGTGTTAGCCAGATGAAAGCTAACTTGACACAACTTCTAAAAAAATTAGCTCGCTCCTCGGAGCAGACAGTACGGATAATAGTCCATAATAATAATCCGACGACTAAGCAAACAAGTCCTGTCCTCGGTCGAGAGTGGGCAGTGTGAGTAGTAGTTGGTTCCCTGCCGGAGGGAGAGTGCCGATGTGGGGAGTGGGCGCTGTGTCTCTCCCCCTGCAGCCCCGCTCCGTTCACTCACACTGCGGACACAGCAGCAGCAGGAGAAACGGGAGAAACGAGCCCCACACCAACATGGCGACCAACACACACACACACACACACACACACACACACACACACACACACACACACACACGCACACGCACACACACACACACACCGACAGCTGTTTTACTTTATGGAAAATTCAGGGATGCTGGAAGCATTCCCGCTATGTGCATCCGTCACCAATAAAGACACACTTTCATTGATCATTTTCCATTAACCCATTCATGCCAAACAACTAATCTAAATATAATAAAGAAGAAAACCGCGTTTGCTGTAAAGTGATTATTTTTTTTGTATACATTGAATAAACATCTAATACTACTCATTTAATTTTTATTCGTATTTTTTCTAAATAATAAATTAAACATTTTCTAAACATATTTATTAGCAATGAAATTTGGATTTTCTATTGTTTTGTTAAAAACGAGTATGCGATCAAAATACTGAAAATATGAGTGATAAAAGCGATTTTTCTGAGCCATATGGTTTGATCCCTTCAGGTTTGTTTCTCAGGCAAGCTCAGAGATGCATGTAGACCCCACACACATAAGATTTCAGATATAGTGAGTTAATCTCCCTGATAAAGGACAGAACACGTTCTCTTAAGTCTGCTATTCAAGGCAACATTACAGACGATTCTTACAGGAGTCCGATATATATTTTTAATTTTTAAACAGTCTAATGAGTACTTTAAGCAAAATAATACTAATTAGTCTATAAATAAGAAATTTATTTTTCTCAGTGAATTTTGTGAACTGTACTGTCTATATTTAGTCGATGTGAGCAGCTTTGCTTAACGCGGACCTCTCGTCTGCTTATTTACATAAATCCTTAAATATTAGAAATTTCGCACGTAGAAGTAAAAGGACTGATGATTTGTGAAGTGTATTCTGCCCCCTGTCGCCTTTTTTCTGACTGGCCTGGTCCTTTCTGTCAATCTAAGAACTAAGATGCTGATTCAAATTCAAATTTGAACTTTTCCTCCATTAAAAATAAACCCAAGCTACAGTTTACATGAATTACTTAGAACTCACATAATCCTACGTATAAGTAACATGTAATTTTGCCAGGCTAATTACAGCAAGTTTAGGTGGCTATTGTGTCCTCTGTGAATGCAGTAATTTATGATTGCTCTTTCTATGACAATAATAATAATAATAATAATAATAATAATAATAATAAACATGGAAAATTATATACAAGCAATATATAACTGTAAATAAGTAAATATTTATGATGTATTGTCCAGTGTTTTTTAAATTATTTTACTGTAGCATGCCAATTTCCCCTTGGGGATCAATAATAATAACAACAACAACAATAATATTAATAATAGTAATCATCATCATCATCACCTTCATCAAACATTTTAACCATGTTCAGGATAAATAGCGAACAATAAAAGTCTTAATAGATTCATTATGGAAAACAAGTATAAATCAGCACTGAGTTTACACATAATGCATCCTATTTTTTAATCTGTTTCTTAATCGTGGGGTTACTGGAATGCAAGTCTGTAGAAAAGGGCAAAAAGTGTAAAGAGTAGTCTGTGAGGCAGTTGTGTAAGACACAAAAAACATAATTTACAGCCAGAGCAGCCTGGAATGTAGCCAGAGTCTGCAAATTATCCTGTGAGACATGATTTCCAACTCGTACATCTGACTAAATTACTACTGAACCCTGACATAGGTGCACTGGGAGCTGGAACAGAACAAAAACGTGGACTGGCTGTAGATCCAGGGGGTGTGGTTTGGTTTTGGAGCCACTATAACACACGCACGCGCACACACACACACACACACACACACGCAGAGAGAGAGACAGAGAGAGAGAGAGAGAGAGAGAGAGAGAGAGAGAGAGAGAGAGAGAGAGAGAGAGAGTAGTAGTAGTAGTAGAAATAGACCATATATGAATAAGATACACAAGACTAAACCGGTTTACCTTATTTATGTGTATAATTATAGTAAAATACAGAAAGAGTGAAAATGCATCAAGGTGTTCAGTTTTTAAAAGCCAGGATTTCTTAGAATACGGTCCGGTTTTACAAAGCTAGCGTAGCGTCTAGGTTAAACCAGAAGATAGGAAGGGTTCAAAAGCCAACAGTAAAGTCTATTTTTAATTTAGCTGTATTAGCGATCAAATTAAGTTGCCCTATTTGTTCACGCTTGGCCATCGCCGTTTCTGCTACTAAAGATGATAATGGTGCAATAGCGCCCACTGCTGGCCAGATTAAAAAGCTTATTCAGATATTCACAGTTCAGAAACATTACAGCAGATGTAGCTATGTTCTAATCATAAAAGTGAATATTCGAGGTGCCCACTTCGAGTGATAGCCTGTGAAGATAAGGGCCTCGCCGCTAGCCTGCCGTTGTTTCAATGGACAGATTTTGTAATGCTAATAACCTACATGCTGTCCCTCATTAGCACGTAGCCTAATGTGTTTATTGGGGCTTGCGTTTTGATTAAAAAGAGAAATGAAAAGGACGGTATTTTGGTTGGTTTTATCCCACTGAGCTATTGTTTTCCACTTGGAGAATTCACACAAATCCTTCCATCTCCACTGTCTCACTGATACTGTATGAATTTCCAGAATATGGTCTTTATAAAGTAGTGAAAAGTAAACCAGTGTTTACTTATGTCTGTAATCTATGGATTTCAAATGGGAATATTAAGTAAAATGGAAATTAAGTAAATGGAAAGTAGGATCATTTATGAAAATATTTCAATTACTAGGCCTACTTCTATCATTCATTTACTAAAATATGATGCCAGCACTTTATTTGAAAAGTGCATGGTATTATGCACAACTGCACGGGTTATTTGAAGCTTTATCTCATGGACAGATGAGCCCTTGAGGTTCTTTAAAGGACTTGTCATGGAATTGGTCTACCTGACACAAAATCAAACCCATGTTCATATTATGTATTCATCCATTTTTAAATCACAACATCTTTCTGAATGCTGTGGAAAGAGTACAGACCAGCTTGTTTCAGACCTTTACTGTTATTTTACTGGTTCTTAACCTGCAATCTTGCTGTAATAGATGGGAAACAATTAACCAGTCTGAATCCTCCCAATAGTTTCCACAATAGTTTCTACCATTCTTTATCATATTAGTCTAGTTATTAATGCAAGTGTAATGCAAATGTAAAACATCTAAAAGTGCAGAGAATCCTACAAATTTAACAACGAGACTCCTAAAAGGATTAAAATAACATTTCCTTAAATCTTCAAATAAGGCATGAGATTATTAGGTAATGCCTGAGATAGCAAACAAAACATACTACAGGAGCTTTCAATCCATGTATGGGCTATTAACATGTAAATGTGTCTGAGGGCAATCTGAACTGCAAATTGAAGATTATGTATTCAGAGCAAAATAATATGTGTATTCACATTGGGCTGGAGAAATTTGTAGCCTGTCCTCAAGGAGAATATAAGACAGAAGAAACAAATGATGGCTACTGTTATTCAATTAAGATGTCAGACTGGCATTTTCTGTAATTGGATTAAAATAGTCAGGTAAATCATATAGGCAGAGTATATAATGAATTGCAGGTCTAGTCAGTAGCATTAACTGTCCACTGGCATCAAAACACATGAACACCTCAGTGCTGGACTTAATTAGGAGGCATGGGCTTACACTTCATGTAGATCATGTTTTAATAGTCTGAAAAATACCACAGAGGAATATTAGATATATGGTTCCTGTTTCTGTGCCTTTGGATGTTTTATATTGATACTCACATAGATTAATTGTTATGAGTAGATTTAATAAATTGCTCTTTAATATGGACTTAACATTTTAGCACTCTTTAATTATCTCTTACACTCTAATACATGTAACACTCCAAAGCTTATGACCTAATGGAATAATGATATGGTAATTGATAGGTCTATGATTTGACTCATTTAATCCGACTAGTCATTTAGGTGGGATTTTTATGAAAGGCAAAATATAAATTAAAATACAGATTGTCTTGATTTCTTATGAGTTCTACAAAAAGTAAATTAATAAAACAGGTTATAATACAGATATAAGTACCATATTTGGTACATATATTCTTTAAAAGGTCTATTATTGACATTTGAATAAGACTGTACTGTCACATTTTTATTATGCCCATAGGAGATATTAACATGTGAATGGTTGCGATTGTGGTTGGTGTGACAACACGATACAATATACAACTAATATAATAAATAATTAATTATTTAACAGAACCAGATAAAGACACTTACTATGTAGTTATATAAAATATAAAAAATATAAAAGTTATAAAAATATAAAAAACAACTGCAGACTACAAAATACACTTTGTTAACTAAAATCAGTTTGCTTTCAATTGTCTTCAGTATTTAATAAAGGCCTGTTGAACATGGTTACTCTATTGACGTGCTTTAACTATAATGTCCCTGCTGACATTAAACATTTTAACCATGACAAAAAAACTAGTGTTAATAACATGATCATGGGGAGTTTATTTAGTTAGTTGTCTGACATGAGATGATCCATTAACAGACCTTCTCTAGTCTTCTGTGTCTGTCATCTCAGAAGAAGCTATAGCCAATACACAAGGTGGACTGAGGCCAACTTTAGTCCTCCCTCTTGTGGGACAAAAAAGGTCTGACTGATCCAACATCAGTAAGAGATAATCACCCCCTTGAGAAAACTTCTTCCAATCCACATCTCTGAGCCCATGCTTAACTTTGCTGTCTGTTTCTGTAATAATTACTTGAACCTTATAAGTCATTCATGAATATGCTTTCTTTTCCCCTGTGTTCTTCTTAATCCACAGCTATTTAATGTCAGTGGGCTGAAAAAATTGTGAAAAAAATAATAACATCTAAAATTTAAACAACAATTCTGAGACTAATTTGTTGTGTCCATTAGGCTACATTCAACATATTAGTAAGAGGCAAATACTGCTAAAACCTTACAAAAAATGTATGCTAAATTTACGGATTTCAGTTTATGATGATACAGTTGAGACTTCATTATGCTCATTGTAAAACTCCATTCAGATGCTTATTTTAGGCAACAGAGAGAAAATGTTTATTTGAATTTGATGAAAAGCCCTCATAGCTGTACTTAACTGAGAAAAAACACAAAGTAATGAGCCGCAATTAGTGACTGTAATGTGCTGTGCCTTTGAAGTGGACCTGTCCTTTGGGGTTGCCACCCACTTATGGCCGTGGCCTCGTCTAGACGTGATGCAAAGGGTGCAGCTGCATATAAAGGGGAAGGTCACTCAGCTTTAGTCACTTCATCAGTAGCTAGAAAGCCAGACAAACATGGCTCTCCTCATCCACCTGTTTGTGTGTGCTATGGTTATTTCCACAGCACACAGTTGGGCTGCTGATGATATGAAGGAAGCAATGCTCCAAAAACTCGGCCTAATGGACTTCCCTAAGATTGAAAAGAGAGACTTGGAGAACCTGGTCGTCCCAACTCACGTCAAGAACAAGTACGTGTCCATGCTGAGGAAGCACAAGAAGAGAGGACGGAGGTCTCTACCAAGTCTAGCGGGAATTCTCAGACGCAGTCACATTGGCACAGGTAGGTTCTCTTTTGAAGAGAAGAACTAATGTCTATTGTGTCTGTTTTAACCTTAGCTTAACTCTTAACAACTCCTATAAAGATTTCTTGGTTGAAAATCTTGCATTGTTATAGAACATTATATGAATTTTCTTGACATATAAAAAGATTACTGACACTTGCACATGTCATTTAAAATTTAAAGTTTTTTTTGGGACCTATAGTGGTTCTACAATAGCCTCTGTCTAAAGAACCCTTTTAGGCAACTTTATTGTTAAGAGTATACCTCTAATGAATAATCCATGGACATATCTTTTAACATGCCTTTAACATTCTTCTAGACATACCAGGGGAAATTCATTACTCGGATAGGACTCAACAGCGCCTTGTATTTGACATGGAGACAAGGCTGCAGGAAAACAGCGAGGTCACCATGGCAGAGCTCAAACTTTACCAGACGACTCCACGGCATCAGCACACATTCGATAAAAAGAAACAGAGACCTGTCAGCAATGCCCGAGTCAGCATTTACTGGGTGGGGGGCCTGGGCGATGGCTCCAATCAAACAGCACTGATAGACTCAAGGTAAGCACAAGAATGAGCCAAATTCATACTGTCAAACATAAATTAAAATAAAACAAACAAATATAACATTGCTATTACATTGCTGCACACTTTTGTAAAGCTAACATATTGTATATTATGGAAATTCATTTAATGTTTTCTGAAGACATATTATGTCTACACATTGTACATTTTATGCTACTCTCCTTTTGGACATTTGGACACATTTGTGTTGTGGTTAAAGATTACATTTTTTCAGTGTGTTTATTGTGTGAATGCCTTGATATATTTACTCATTGTTAACATCTGAGATGCTTACATTACACAATAAGAATGCTGTGATTTGCTGTATAACTCATTTGCATATTGCAGGCCTCTGCAGCATAAGTATCTCAAAGGCCAAAATTGTGATAACGACTTACAAACTATGTCTATTTTACAACCCTCATTGCAGGTTGAGTATTTGAATAGTGTTTAACTCCTGTGTTTTGATAGGCTTGTGCCACTACACGAATCTGGCTGGAGAAACTTTGATGTGACTCAAGCAGTTCATTACTGGTCGAAGTCCCAGAAGAAAACTCCACTCCATTTGGAGGTTTGGGTTGAGGGAGAGAGGCCTGGCAGATACGCAGCAGAAATGGCAAAAAGAGTGCGCTTCACCACGCAACAAACATCTGAAAACACCCTTGACAAGAGTGCAGGCACACCAGAGCTTGTTTTATACACCTTAAATTTGGATGAATATGGGTAAGTTTGCTACTCTTTTTTACTACTTCAAGTGAAATTAAGTTAATCACTGTGTTCAGATAACATAAGGTCTGTATTTTTGTTACTTTTGTTAAGTTTTGGTAAAGTTAAATCAACAACACATTTTTACAGCTGCAAAATGCAGATTACAGCTGTGAAGTGCTATAATTAACACCTCCATTCAGTTACACAGGGAAGATGATAGTGCTTTGAATAGTAAAGCTATAAAATATTTTTAATGTGTGGATTCAAGTATTCTAAGCCATCAGGTAATAGGCGACACCTAAAGAAACTTGTTTATTTCAATATCAACTAGTGTCTTTCTAAATGAGTGAAAGGAAATATAAAATGTAATGGAAAAAAGACTAAAAGACTAATTAAAATACAAAAACAACTTTTGGTTTAACCTGCCACTCTGTCCCATATTACCTGAATCCATCGAAAAGTTGCTTGAACGTTGCTTTGAATTTATATTATTCAAATGTGTACACTGGCTAAACATGAATAAAATGTGTTACATCAACATAACTACTATGAGTACGTACTTAACTTACTCAGAAGTGTTCACATTTGAGTCATGTAAATTCAACAACGTTTTTCAGTAAACGCTTTTGCATCTAGTTAATGCAAAGCACTTTTTCAGTGTACAATTCAAACAGATCATATAAGTAGTCAATAATGGGCATGGCATTAATGACTTCATCTCCACAGGTCTCCAGGAGACTGCAGGCAGAACACAGACAGTGTCATGTGCTGTCGGGAGGAGCATTACATAAACTTCAGAGAGCTTACGTGGACACAGTACTGGATCATCGAACCTGCTGGCTACCAGGCTTTCCGATGCACAGGAGGGTGCAAGCAGCCCAAGCGCAATTATGGTTACGGACAGAGGACCTGCGGAGTCGCACAAACCGCACCACTGCCTGTCATGTACCTGGTGAAGAAAGGCGAGCACACAGCAATCGAGGTGGCTGAATTCCCAAACATGGTTGTTGAAAAGTGTGGATGCTCCATGGACAAACTATTTACAGCCTGAAATATTTCAACACTCAGTTATTTACTTAAGCACTTGAAAAATAAGACTGTATAATATAATCTTGAAAAAATGTCACTTTTGTTTTGCATTATAAAAGATTGTGTGATTCATTTATATATATTTTTTGAAAATAAAATCAATTTATTCTCACAATCATGCGAGTAATTTTAATAATTTCATAAATGCTACAAGAGTTTTGAGAACTTGAAGCAGATTGTTTATATCTTTAGGGAAGTTTGTCCGAAAAAGAGAGTGGAATTTCACAGTTTTAGATAGTTATTAGCAACCTTTAAATCCAAAACAGCGGATTAGTTTTGTGTGAATTATCAACATAAAACTTCATTTAAATGCAAATTAGCTCACTTCACACAAATCACCCATTAACACATCAACAAGTTTTAACACCAAACTTTTTTCAATTATATTTGAAAGAGGGGCAGAAATAGTAAATAACAAGTATTCCCCATGAGTGTGTCTATGTATTAAGGTGTTCTGGGCCATCAGGTAATAAGTGCTTTAGGAAAGTCTTGTATTGTCCAATTTCATCTGTGGTTTACCAGTGTATTCTTTCTAAATATGTAAATGCTACATTTTGGCTCATTTAATAAAAATATATAACAATTTTAAATAAAAACTGAATAAATGTGTGCCTTTAGCATTCAGGCCCTATGACGTGTGTCCCATATTGCCATATTATTACTTGCTTACCTGATGGCTAAAATCTGATCTAAATCTGCCCTACACAGAAACAGGAATACACAGTTATGGTTGTGCTTTACTCATTAAATAAAAAAGAATGATATTTTTATCATGTAGTTCTCAAAGTCTAATTTTACAGTTGTCCTTTACAAAGTTATTTAAGTTCTGCCAGTGTTTTGGCCTGTAACCAATGCAATTTGCCTGATGAGTGGACTGACAGCTTTACAAAAGTGTAGCATAGAACAGTATGCTAACTTCCCAGTGTGTTCTATCCACATCTGACTGATAGAACCAGACTGATAGAGCCATACAGAACCCAAGCTGAACTCCAACATCAGCTCATTGACTTTGTGGCAAGTCAGTGTTTTCCAATCTGTTCCTAAATTCTCAATGCACTGTGCATTTTAGGCTAGTTCTCCCTATCCTAAAGAATCATCAGGCAAATAACAAAGCCTTCATGAGGTTGAGGGGCCAGTGTTCCCCACTTCCCTCCTTGGACTAACTAGCTGTTAACCAACTAGCATTATATTATGGAGTTTTACCTGTGACTGTAGAGGCGGGGAAAAGAACGACAGTTGAAAAAAGGACATTTTGTTGTTTCTGACTGACTGGCTCAAAAAATGTGACGTATCTTTTGCTTTTTTAGGCAGGTATACGTTAAATCAGTCTTCTTAGAGGTGGGTTTACATCGTATACCTGCGGATACGCCCCACCATAGTAGCGCAGGGATTTTCAAGTCCAGTCCTTCGAGTCAAGCACACCTATGCTAAATCTCAAATGCCCCCCTGCTCGTATGTAGTGCACTATGTAGGTCATGAAATAACGGCCTCTACACCCAAATAGTGCATTAGCTACATGTCGAATAGAAAGCCGTTTATATTCAGTCATTAGCCACACGACTCCCTGTATAACATTCAGAGCACTATTTGGGTATGGAGACATTTGAGATTCATCCCTAACCACACTCAGAAAGGGCGTGATAATTAGCTGATAAGGTGGACCAGATGTGCTAGAACAGGGACAACATGAAACTGTTCAGGGCAACGGATCCCTAGAGCTGAAAATCCCCATGCTAGGCCCTTTTGGCGGGGGATACAGGACCCAGACTATGCGTCTATTAATTTCTGCCACCAGATGTCGCTGTCGGGTTAGAGAATTAACGGCCGTTCTTATTGGTTCTCTCTGAGACAACGTCACCAAAGAGGCTGGGCTAAAACTTGTTTATTGTTGGCTGCCATCGCAACGACTCCATGGCTAACGGACTCCAAACATTTACAAAAGGGATGGTTAAGTTTTCAGGTAACTGACCTATTTTATACAGTAAATGATTTTGTTTAGTCTCAAATTACATAAAAAGGCAAAGTGGACTGTTACACTATGTTCGTTGTTCATTTTATCTTACTGTAGGCAGGCTGGCTGGCTAATCTAGCCAGCACTAACGTTAGATTAGCGGCGTTAACTGAGAGAGCGGAGATTCTCCCTCAGTGCGCGGCCAATGTCGTCTCAGCCGTAGCGAGCCAAGCACAGCAACTACTGTTTACTCTGGATTAGCTTGTAAGAATATACTCGTTTTTCTCCTTAGTTTAATTTGTGACACTGTAACTGTTTCTGACTGCAATTCGCGAGAGTTAACACGGCAAGCTGGATGGATAACCCGGTTAGCTCGTCAGCTAGCTGACCTAGCTAACCTAGCTCCCATACGTTACATCATGACTTCTTTGCCGAGCTATTTTGAATCAGCTTAATCCATCAGAATTCACCGAAGGTTAGTTTAAATGGGGCATCAGCCCGCACGACAAAGAACACAACATTGTCTGTCTGTTACTTGTTTGAGAAGTACACTCTTTAAAAAGATGGTTCTTCAGGGGTTATTTAGTAAGGGGGATGCTTATATGTAAAACCTTCAGTTCTATATAGAACCATGTCACACTTAAATGGTTCTTTGCATGATGAAATGGTTCTTCAGATTGACGGAGAGTGTGTTGTATTTGATTATCTATGAACCTAATTGAAAATTGTTCAATATAACACCAAAATGGTTTTGTTACATGCTTAATATTGTAACAATATAATAACTCTTTTTAGAGCTATATAGCTTTATAGAGCCATTTTCATATATGTTATGTATTATACCATATACAACACATTCTCCATCAATCTGAAGAACCATTTCACCATGCAAAGAACATTTAAGCATAAATTGGTTATGTATAGAATTCAAATGGTTTTAAATAGAGCCATTCCCTTTACCAAGGAACTCTTAGAAAACCATCTTTTTTAAGAGTGTAACGTTAGCTAACACACATATTTTACATGTACATATTTGTGTGTTTCAGGGGTCTTTTGTGTACAGAATGAATTTACTCCCAGTGTTTGAGAATGCCTGCAGGTAATAACGCTTTAAAACTCGCCAGTCACATACTGTGTATATACTCGCACCTTGCTATGGTCTGTTAACTAACATAGTTTTTTATTAGGTCAGATTGATGTGAGAGCAAAGACGAAAGCCCGCTTTGACGAGGTGTTGAAGAGATACACAAACCCTCCCTCAGAGAAAAAAAGGTCCAAACAGCAAGTTGTCGAATTGCAGGAGAATGTTGTGGTAAGTGGTCGGGTCTTTTAAGACACATTTCATTTTCTTTATTATTAATTTGTCACATTAACAAAGCATTCGTAATGCACAAAATATATAATGCGCAATACTATTGGTAGATTTCCCCTCTCACATGAGTCTTGCAACCCAACCCTTGTTATATTTGTTTTGCTCTTGTTATCTCTCGCAGCTTCACACTTTGAGCAGAAACTTAGATTTGAGTAAAACCACTGAAGAAGATGAGACCATTCTTAATAACACATATGACCCTGCACTGGGTAGCCCAAGATTTACTAAGAACAGGCGCAGAGAGGTGGAGGTGTCAGAGAAGGCCAACGTCAGCAATAATGTAAATGATGAGAAATCCCCACTGACCTCAGGGAAGAAGAAGAGTAAAAGGAAACTGCCTCCTCCACCACCTGTTCAAGATGAAGAAGACAGAAATGCTGGGAAGGCCGAAACAAAAGTTACTATTGAACCAGATTTGGGGCAGAATAGAAAGGGTAAAAGAGGAAAGAGCAGAGGAGGAGAAGGTGATGGTGCACAGAAAGTAGAGTCTGAGCCTGAAGATGATCTTCTTCAGGAATATCAGCAGCAGATCACACGGGAGGAGGAGAGGGCTCTTAAGAAGACCACTCAAAAGAAACACAGTGAAAAGTTGCCCAAAAGTGAAGAAGTTTTGGTATTAAACAATGAGCTTGGTAAGAAGAAGAAAAAGAAGAAGAACCTAAGAGCGAGTGATGAAGATGAAAGGTAAAATATGACAAGTGTATGTAGCGGGTGTGTGTAACATTGATAATTGTTTTTGAGGTGACTGTGACTTTTATTAGGAGTGTAATGATACAGAGAATTCACAGATACAGTATCTTGATCTGATTTTTTGATACAGCAGAAATAAGGATTGGCTGTAAATGTGCCTTATATTAATATGTTAATGTTTCAATGTTTAGTTTATTAGAGCAGTCAGTATTATTATTATTATTATTATTATTATTAAGTTCAATATTTGAAGCTGACCTTGTTCTTAATAGTTTCCCAAACTCATGCTCTGTCTACAAGCTAATGTTAACTCCAAGCTAGCATACTAGCCCGAAGCTGACATGCTAGTCATAATACAATGACATGGTACAGTTTAACAAGAATGTAGGACAGGAATGTAGGTCACACAACAAAAACTGATATTTCTTTTTTTTTGAGGATTAGTACACTCTTTAGCTCATCAGTAGTATCACATCAATTCATTAGTCAGTGCATACTTTTTATTACATTGTGTTCTTAATATCTTTACACAACATAAATAATCTTTTTTTTCTGTTTTGTCTTCATAATGTTCAATCTTCACTGCTATTATAATGATCTTCTACTGAAACACTACCAAAGCCATTCTGAATTAACAACTGACAAGAAATCAAAGGAAAGTATTCAAGGTGATGCTGTAGAGGAGGACAAAGTAGATGCAGTAAAACCCAAAGAGAAAAAGAAGAAGAAAAGAAAGGAAGGTATGACATGTAATGCCTGCTGGACATTCTGATGACAAGTATGAGATGGTCAGAAATGTCCATATTAAAATATTTATAATGCTGACACAGATTCACTAAACATATGGTTCTGGTTCCATGCTGTTGACAATGTTCGGGACATGTTTGCTCTCCTTTGGCTCAAGTTATAGTTGAGGACAGTCAGGCGGAGGTGGAGGCTTCTCAGAGGCGGGCCTTTGATGACAGCCTGGTGCTGGGAGTTTACATTCACCGTACAGACCGGCTCAAGACTGACCTTCTGGTGTCCCACCCCATGGTAAAAGTCCATGTTGTGGACGAGATCACTGGACAGTATGTGAAGAAAGAGGACAGGTGGGGATTTGACCTTCTTTTGTTTTAGGTTTTGTCCTAACTGTGCAATAGAGTTACAAAAGGCTATATTAATGTATATATGTACTCATGCTTCTGTAATTTATCTTTTACACAGCCATCGTCGAGTCTCTTCTTTCTATGAACAAGAGAATGTTGAGCACATCCTGCCAATCATATCTCAGCCTTTTGACTTCAAGAAAAACAAGTCAACGGTCCCAGAATGGGAGGAGCAGATCATCTTCAATGAGAGATTTGGTTATTTCCTTCATGACAGTGAGGAGTGTCCACAGGTGATCCTCTTTTTTGAGGTGAGCCAGCATTGTCTAGTAGTGTTTTTGATGAGTACATTATCCATTGTTAATGCTGCACAAATCAGTAAACAATAAACCAATTTTTTAATGTTATAGATTCTTGACTTCGTCAGCATGGAAGAGGCAAGAGCAAATGTCTCTGCTGATCAGCATGAGCGTGGATTTCGTAAAATTGCTTGGGCTTTTTTGAAGGTACCAGAACTTGCCTGTGTAACTTTGATGTATTTGTCTTTTTTTGTTTTTAAAATATAGTACACTGTCAGCCTGTTGTGATCCATGGCTGAACCACTGTAACTCTTAAAGCATGACTATTTAAACTTTAAAGTTTTTTTTTTGTTAGCTTGTAGGAACCAATGGTGTGATGAACATTGACAGCAAACTGCGTCTCCAGCTGTACAGCCCTCCTCCTAGAGCGAAAAAGGTCCCACAAACAGTCGAAGTGTTTCAGTGGTGGTCAAAGTTTCCTAGGAACAGATATACCTCAACTCTCTACGTCACAGTGAAAGGCCTCAAACTACCTGAACACGTGGGTTTACATCTAGGTCTTGCATCCCATTATAAATTCTAATACAAACGAATGATTTGTTGAAAAACAGGCTAATAAATGTAGGTGTTTATTCTTCAGTAAAACTTTGCTTACCCTGTTATGGAACATCAGTCGTCTGCTTAAATGCTTAGATAATGGAAACATTTTTGAGTTGAGGATAGCTAATCCAGGGTGGAACGGGACATCAATGCAAAGTTGTGTTGAGAATTCTTAAAGATGTTTTATATTTGTAATTTGTTACAATTTTAATTTTGTTAGTATTACATGTACGTGCATGCCAATACTTGGACTAAATTACAGAAGTTTCATGATCTTCTGTTAGGTATTTACTCTGTTTCTGCTTGACCTGACTTTGCTGTGCAGGTAGATCCCAGTATCCGCTCAATGATGGCTCTACAGCAAGAGAGGGGCAGCACCTCGTACAGTGAGCTCCACACTGAACTTACCCAGAAAACCTCCACACAACTGTTGGAGAGCAAATCAGAGGCTATTAAGTGGAGTCGCGTGCCTGGACAGGTATTTTGTTATATGTTATTAATTACTGACTAATGTAACAATTTATTGATAAGGCTTCATAGTGACACATTGTTAATTTGTGGATGTTATGGAACTCTATGGAATTAGAAAACAATCATTTATGCTGCCAGGTATGTCGCATTCCAAACAAGCCAATGCTGTCATTCCGTGGAGGCCAGATGGGTTGCTTTACTCTACGCTTCTCTTATGACGGCAGAGCCTTGGCTGCTGCTTGCGCAGACAGAGATGCTTTCCCCATTGTAGGTGAGGAACTGAGCCTAACTTCAGCTACAGTTTGCTTGTTCAAGTATGTCTCCTTCCATCTAAACCTAGAGCCTCCTTAGATGTTTAGGCTATAATCTACTACAGTTGGATGTTGTATACATTTACTGGATAACTTGCATAGGCTGATATAGGGTCAGACCATGCAGTAAGAATTGTGTTTTTTCTATAGTGTATGAGATACCTTCAGGCAAAGTCTTGGCGTCTTTTAATGGCCACCTCAGTATTGTCTACGATCTCTGCTGGACCAGAGATGACAGATGCCTGCTCTCAGCATCATCTGATGGAACGGTCAGGTAAAAGCTCCTTTAAAGTGTGCCCATTGTCAGGTATGGTATGTGAGCTAAAAATATCCACTATGATTAAAAAAAAACTTTTATCTCTCTCAGAGTGTGGAACATTGAAAGACTCCAGGGTCTTGCTCAGAAGATTCTCCCTCACCCGTCATTTGTGTACTGTGCTCAGTACCACCCACACGCCCAGAGCCTGGTGGTTACGGGTGGTTATGACGGCCTGCTCCGGTTGTGGAATTTAGATGTAAAAGATGTGAATGGGCAACTCCTGCAAGAGTTTGAGGGACACAAGTCTTTCATCAATGTGCTGTGCTTTGACAATGAAGGTAGAGTCACATCTGGGTCATTGGTCATTGTTGTTTTTTAGTGTAATTTTTAATAAGCGGTTGTAATAAGTAAAATGAATGTTTGTACTGTTGCAGGAACCAGGCTGTTTTCTGCAGACAATGCTGGCATGATTATTGTGTGGACTACTAAAATTGAGGATCTGTCACGTCATTGGAAAATTGAGAAGGTAATATTTAGAATGATGCAGTGATTTTAGGGGTTACGATGATTATATATGTGCCATTAATGTAATTATGAATGTTGCATATCAGTATCTACTGAGTCAGTGAACACTGCATCAATGACAATAAAATGTGCCCACAGGAAATAAAGGAAAGCGATCTGAATGGAATTCCCATCAACTCATTAGAAGTGCACCCAAATGGAAGGCGTCTTCTAATTCATGCCAAAGACAGCGTTTTGAGAGTGATGGATTTGAGAATGTAACTATCCTTTAATGTAGCATTTAATCTGAAACATTGTTTTGAATTTGAATATTGCCCACTTGTAAAATCTATGCTTTCTGTAGATGTAGAATTTTGTATGGAATTTTAGAGTACCATACCTACTTGTAGGTATGCAAATATGTAAGATAACTGCAAAAAATATGCCTGCAACATATTTACTTGTCATTAACGTATATGCTGTCACTGTCCAAAGAAAAACTCTCCATGATGGCAAATTTACTAAAGAAGGCAAAACATTCTTTACTTTCAAGTAAGGTTAATGGAAAGAGACTTTATTTCAAGCAGTTTTGGACCATTTTTATTGGTCTTATCATGAAACTTTCACACAATGTAAAGGGCAGCTGCTGTGCTCAAATAATGAAGAGAAATAAAAAATTGAAGAAGGAGATTTTTTTCGACATTGATGATATATATTAAGACAAACACTGCAGATATTTATAGAAGAGGATCTGTCAGGTTGTTAAGATTTGTACCTTTTTGTATTTTGTGCTATAGTTTTGCTGTAAAGAAATACATTGGTGCCACAAACTACAGAGAGAGGATCAACAGTACCTTCACTCCATGTGGAAGCTTCATCTTCTCTGGCAGTGAGGATGGACTTGCCTATGTGTGGAATGCTGAGACAGGTAGGCACCTATTGCTGCTGTATAACCATATGAAGCTTTTTGATTAGAGCAGGGTTTGACTACTCAGAAGAAAGTCTAGGATTGGAGACTAACTGATTAAGGAGGAGAGAATGTGAACATGAAAGAGCAATTAAACAAATGTTCATGTTTTGTTTTAGGCATGTGTTGTTTTCTTACTGTTGTCCAGATTATCCCAACACAGTTACGTAGTGTAGATTTTTATTAGTAATTTACTTTATCTTATGTAATACATGTTGCTGCTCCTGTAAGACAATTTAGCATATTCATTGCATTAAAAGTGTTCAAGAACTAATAAGAATGATAGAAAGTCAGTCACTGAAAATCTGTTTGTGCTCTCCGATCCAATGTAGGTGATCAGGTGGCTGTGTACTCAGAGCTATGTTATCCAGTCGCTCTCAGAAGTGTGGCTTTCCATCCCCATGAACACATGGTGGCTTTCTGTGCCTTTGGGCAAAATCAACCAATACATTTATATTTGTATGACCGGAAAGGTAAGATTACAGGACTATGCAAAACCCCTTTTAACCTAACGTAAGGGATTAGATCGCTTAACACATTGTGTCAAGACATTTTCTTTTTTTGCAAATTTATTCATTGTTTAAGTTCTGTAACATGAACAGTAAAACAATCAGTTATTACTGTTTGTGCAGTTTCCCAGTTGGACCTGGAGAGTGTGAGAGGGCTGAACAGGTCTGAGACTGTTGATAATAAAACAGCCAGGAATCAGTCCGAGCTGCTGCCATTCCAGGATACCTCAGCCTCCGGGGTGGACCGTTTTGCTAGTGCTGCTCGCATGTCCCTCAAGATGCAGCGTGTTAAACAGAAACTAGACTCAGTTCTGGTAAAGTAAAGCTCCATCTTGTCTTTACAGCTGATTAATTTTAGTTTTAAACTATATTTACTATAATTGTGCTTGTTACCTTTTAGTGGCTGTAGTAAGTCAAGCACCAATTTCAACAAAACATGATTTGTTCTATTTTTTCAGGAGCCATATCGCAACCCTTCTGGCATAGAGTACTACTATGAACAGGGTAAGTAGTTCCTGTAGAATCCTGTGGACTGTAAAGAGATAGCTCGTGGACTTAGAATGATATGGTTACATCTGACATTTTTGTCGAAATTTATTTGTGTACAACCACATTTCCAAAAAAGTTGTGACACTATGGTAAATGTAAATAAAAACATGTTATGATATGTAAATCATTTACACTCTATATTTAATTGAAAATAGTACGAAGACAACATATCAAATGTTGAAACTGAGAAATTTTGAAAATTGTTTTTAAAAAAATATATGCCCAGTTTGAATGTTCCAAGTTTGAATGTTCCAAAAAAAGTTGGGACAGGGTCATGCTTACCACTGTGTTGCATCACCTCCTCTTTCAACAACACTCTGTACGTTTTTGATAACTGTGGAGATCAGTTGCTGGGGTTTTGAAACCTAAATGTTTTGATGTTCTTGCTTGGTATACAATACAATATAACTGCTCAGCAGTTCAGGGTCTCCTTTGGTGTATTTTAATTTCATATTGGGCATGTTTTCAATGGGTGACAGATTTGGACGGCAGGAAGACCAGTTTAACATCCGGACTCTTTTACTAAGGAGCCATACTGTTGTAATACGTGCAGAATGTTTTTTGGCATTGTCTTGCTTAAATATCCAAGGCCTTCCCTGAAAAAAAGACATTAATGGTGCCTTCACAGATGTGCGAGTCACCCATGTCATGTGCACTAATGCACCCCACACCAGCACGGATGCTGACCAGGACACAGTGTCCATGATTTCCAAAAAGAATTTCAAACGTTGATTTGTTAGACCACAGTCTTTTTTTAATGCAGTGCTGCCTGAGGACTTGATCAATTTGGTCAACTACCTTTCCTAAGAAAATATCCTAGAATTTAACTGTTCAACTCTGTATCTTAAGGTAATGCTGTTAAGATGTGAAAGTTAACTGTACTACATAGGTTTAGCTGTTTTTGAAGTGATATCGTTGACACTTAGCATCAAAGCTGCACCAGACCCAGATGGATCCTTAGAATTCTCATGTTATGGATGACAGACTGATGCAGTACTTTTCTCTCTGTTGATGTATACACATGTTTATTATTAACACAATTTTATTTTAATTGAAGGAAGCATGTCTCAGCTGGGCAGGGAGCTCACCCAAGAGGCAAGTAGCAGTGGTTTAAAAAATGTCAGTACCAACTGAAATGTACAATATTATAATGGTGTACGTGAACATTGAAAAATGTTTCTTCTAGACTATAATCAGGAACCATAGCTGGAAATGAAGTTCCTTATGTTTTGCTGTTTTTTTTTAGAGCATGAATATGTCTCTTCCTCCTCCATCTCTGTTGTCCCCTCACTCCAAGCTACAGCTGTCCAGTTCACTCAGTGCCCAGCTTATTCCTCAGGCCACACTCAGCTCACAAACCTGTACGTGAAGCTGTCTGTGATCATTTATGATCTTTGCACATAGCCGTAATAGAGCTTCATGGGCTTCAGAAGCATAGCCTTTTTCTCAGGTTTGTTCTTTTTCATTCTCACAGATGGATTCAGTGCTTTGGGTCAACCTATTAGAAGAGCTCCATTCCTAAGGCAAAGGGTAAGACGTAGAGACTTTCTGATTTGACTTATTCACTAGCCTGAATTTATAGCAAGTTGAACTTAAAGGAGAATTAAGTTAAATATTCTTGAATCTTTAAATAAGTACATCTGTCCAATGGCTGTTCATGCATTGTTACAACTATATATTATTAACAGCAAATTCTGTTTTCTTAGAGTCTACCAGATTATGAATTTCCTCAACAAGTTGAGAATGACCTGGCAGAAGTCCAGCAGACGGTACATCTTTAGCTTACACCATGACTGCTTTATTTATGTTTTATCTGTATACAGACTTTTCTCTTGAGCCTGGATTTGACTATTGTATTGATGGCTAGGTCATGTGATCTCTCTTGTAGGTTGTATCATTGTACGATTACATCGCCAATCGATCTGATGAGCTGACAGTACAACGTGGTGATGTGATCCATGTGCTGTATAAAGATAATGACAGTTGGTGGTTTGGTTGCTTAGCCAATGGACAAAAGGGCTACTTCCCCGCTGCCTATGTAGCTGATGAAAGTCAGTAGAACATTTTTGGCAACTAATAATGAATATCAATTAAAGTCTAGCTTATTTAGTTTAATGCTGTAGCCAGACTGAGCATTTATTTTGTCCACACAGAGGGGTTTGATGAAGAGTTGTCAAGGGCTATAGAGATGCAACCTGGACCCTCAGAGCAAATGAGTCATGGACTGGACAGATCCACGACGACAAAGGTAATGTGAACGTAGATATTGGTCCAGCTGTATTTTAATACACTTTTTAAAGTATTTAATCCTGTCTTACATAATGGATTATTAATAGTACATTTCGAGACTTTGGGGATGTGTCTCATTAAAGTCTTTAACTCAGTAATGTTTACATACATTACTCAGTAGTTGTGATGCATGCATGTCCATATTCAGCACAGTAAAATGTATCAGTATGTACAACTGGGGAATTAAAGTGATTTTTTATTTTTATTTTACTGCATATTTCTGAGCAAGATTGTGCTCACTATCAGAACCACTAATAATAATAAAAGATGATTAAAATGGGAAACATTCCTATTCATATATTTTTGGCTCAAATTGGTTGTTGTGGGATAGGCTCCAGCACCCCACCGCGACCCAGAAGGATAAGCGGTTTAGATGATGGATGGATGGATGGATGGTTGTTGTGACAAATAAAAAAAATCAGTTGATTTTCAGCATTAGGTCTTTTTTACAGTTTAAAAACAACAATATCACTGAGAAATCAGTGTTATTAAAAGAGAAGAGTAGATTACAAGGAAGAAATAGCTGCCTTTTTGCCTTGAAGCTAATGGTAGATGGGCCTGGAGAGGAAAAGACAACAAGGTTTTGTGTTTATCTAGGACTCTTCTGTATGCTTCTAGCAGCTTGTGTTCTCAGTGTTTCGTAGGCCTCTTTGGTAGTCTGAGCATGATAATTTCTTCACTGTAGGGGTGTCCATATCCAGTCTTGTAGGACTTCAATGATACTAAGCCTAGTATCATTCCCTGCACTTGATTTAATTCATCAGCTAATGATCAAGCCCTTTATAAGTATGGTAAAGTGTGTTTGAGGAGGAAAGAAGGGGTGCGGTGGATTTGGATTTTCTGGCTTCTTGATTTTCTGGCTTTCTGTCATGTTTTTCCTACAGATGTCTGCAGCCATCAGTGCCTCTGGAGAGCTGAAGATCATTTCTGAGCAGGACACTGATGCTGAGGCACCTGCTGCAAAGTATGGCTCTTCATTTTGCCACCACTTTCTCTATGGCATTAATTAAACAAAGGGTTATTTATCAGTCTAATGCAAGTTACATATATAAATCAGGGAGTATCAGTTTAATTAGTTGTATTTGATATTTTCACCAAGATTTTATTTTATGTTCATTTTGTCTTCTATTTTTCTAAGTTTTATTTGATACATGTTCTTTTCTTACTCATGTCTGTATTCACTTGATTCATTTTCTAGAAGCTAAGGTACTCTAACAGAGTTCAAGGTCTGACCTGTACTCTTTATTATTTTCATTTGAAGGACCAAAAAGAAGAAAAAGGTAAAGAAAAGTGAGATCACGTACGATCTATCTCAGACCCCATCATCAGATCCTGAAGCTCCTATACCATTTACTAGAAAAAGGAGACCTCTTCCAAGGTTAGGTCACACCAACACTGCTTTTGAACCATCTGCTGCAGATCAGGAGCAAGGACCAGACTGATATAATATTCATTGCTGAGGATAAGGGATTTATATGCATATTGATATCAAGAATATGCTTATTCATTTATTTTTGTAGTTAAGCCTTATATCTGAATGTATTTTGTAATTTTATAATGGATTTTTTAATAACTAGTTTTACAAAAGAGATTTATTATGTTTCTTTTTAAAAACATTGATCATTGATGTAATATTTATTTGTGTAAATATTTGATATAACATATCTGTAAAAAAATTTAATAAATACCAAAATAAAGTGTGGGGAATCAGGCACTGCCACAAGTTGTTTAAACAGTAAAATGGTATCATTTACAATTACATCAGGAATGCCTAACTGAGACACTGCCTACAGTTTTAGTGTGGTTTCACAAACCTATTAATCCATTTCCTGAAGAGTTTGGAGATGTGGTCCACTCTGAGAACACATGAAATGCAAATACAATCCTGGCACACGCCAGAGATCCTGGCATTCTGATGCAAAAACCTTGAGGTGTGTTGAACTTTACTCCCCCGAGAGCCACTGTAATTTGTAACATAAATCTCACAGGTCTTACAACAGATTATGTGTTGTGAAACATGAATGTGTTCTGAAGAATCTTTGCAATTATCTTAGAAAACTGTGTGAAGAAACAGACTATTGTAGTGTAGTGACTGCTCTAAAACATCTCAATGGTTGTAGATTGGACTAGGGTAACAACAAAACCATGCAGGGCTGGTGTCTTACATGACCAGACTTGGACACCTACAATTTACAACCAATTAATCCTTGTTTAACTAAAGATCTTCTCTAGAAACGTACCTATTTTGAATCTGATAAATCAGCATATGATCATGCCCAGGCATAATTACTAATTCTCGTTTACTTCACATTCTTGCTTTGTTTTAGTGACCATGTTGAGCAATAAGCCTCATTAAAGGCCCTCTATTGATTTACTAACAATGTGTTCACACACTAATTGATCAAGAGGAACAGCTTATTTCAAAACCTCCAGCTCTCAGCTAACTACAGATGCTTAAAGTGGCAGTCCCAGAGTACAGAGCAATTTACAACAGGGGTTGAAAAAAGACAGTGACAGTACCACTTTGGTAAAAATATTTATTTTATGACAGCCATTATAAACATATTTTCCAGCATTCCTTTTGAAATAGCATACCAACATTTAGTACCAGAGATATGTTCCCTAGTGAACATCAATAAATGAAGATATAAGAATCTTTCAAGATTCATTAATATTTAAATTTTACCAAATATGTGTTCAGAAAATCTGAAATGTTAAGCATGTTTATAAAACATTATACATCAACATTACACACTATACTCTTAAAGGTGGCAGAGATTTGTAAATGAGATGTGTGAAGAAAGTTTTTTAGTATAAAGGACCTTCCATATAATGTTAAAGATCTAGGAAGTTTTAAATTGGTATAGAACCTATATGTTAAGGTTTTTTAAGATTATTCACACAATACTCATTTTCAAACATGGTCTTTTAGGGAACCAAAAGTGGCAAAAAAAACCCTTTGTAGCACCTTTAAGAGTGTACACACATATCTTTATACACTCTATACATAAAGTACTACTAAGAAGTTCTACACTGTCTCTGTAGAGAGAAAGAGTGGTATACAGATAAAAAGATACCCAGTAGAAAAAAAATGTTTCCCATTTATAGCCTGTGCTTCTTATGTCTTATGTATAATTCATTTTAGGAATATGGGATTCGGGGTCAATGCAGACATCCTGTATTTTTCATGTATGCTTCTGCCGATATTATAGACATTTGTAAAATGTACAAAAACCTGGACTACATCTACGTGGATTACCATTACGGAATAATATAACTTATTTCTAGTGTTACTGCATTAAAATTAATAAAATGCAGATGTTTTACAGAGTCATCCTAAACATTCTGCTCTCCCACAGTATAATACATATGTAATCAAATATCTGTTTGAAGCATCTGTGAAATCGAAACATCTGTTCGATGCTGATATTTTTTCCAAGCAATTATCTGCCCCTACTGATTTAATTCCAATAACATTGTGCTTCCCTAATTAATTTATTTAAGGCACAGGCTCACTTGAGTGCAAACTCAAGTGAGCCTGTATTGCATGTACAGTAAATAGACATATCTTTTGAGGTACTGACACATCAGTGAGCTTTGACTCCAATAAGGTTTTACAGAATAACAGCACCTTTTGTCCTGAAAAATAGCCACAACATTGAGTAAAAAGTGGCAAAATTGTGTTTAACGTTCTCTGTATTCTTAAGAAAAATCAACTATTTTCTTGTCGGCATGATGCTTTTCCCCGTTTCTCATAGCGGTACACTGTAGCAATGCACTTGCATATCATATTTCAGTACCTATAAATGATGAGCAGAAGACAGAAGAGGGGATTTTTCTTCTGTAAACAACGTGGATTCAGTCCGAATGCTCTGCTGTAGCCTTTTATCAAAATAGAAAAAAAAAAAATCAGAGGCAATTGTGATGTCAGGGTTCATATGTATCAAATGATTGATGTCTGTATTATTAAGATTATGATATATAAATTGTAAAAGCTGGTCACTGCATCTAGATTAGCACTCCAGGTTTTTAACAACAAAGGAAAAAGAACTAACATTCTTCAAAGTCTGATATGATAGTGAAGAAAATGATAAAGAAAAACATAAAAATACCTTCTCTTCTGTATTTCTTCATTGGTGAAATATATTATTTGTAGAAATGCCTGGAGGAAGTTTGGAGAAAAAAAATGCTTAGCACCTTAAGTAATGCAGTATTTTCTCTGATGAAGTTACTCATGAGTTATTTGTGCTTACAGCAAAAAAAGCGAGTGTTCCTTGAACTCCTGCACTCCATTCAAAATTCAGTTTTTGTGTGATATATCCACCAACGGTGGGCCCAAAGAACATCCTTTCACAAAATGGAAAACAGCAATTCAGGTTTAACAAAAGAGTTAAGAAATTCTAGTAAAAGCTTAAAAGCTGACCCTGTTTCACACATACCCGGCAGACCACACAGCTGAGAAGAGGCCGGATACCAAACCCAGCGTGCTTAAACCCTCCTCAAAGTCATTTTCACTGCAAGGTGAAAAAAAAACCTAAATATTTGGTCCCCTTTTGTCCCCTCTAAATGCATTTAAATTATGATTTGATTAAAATGATTGGCTAGATTGAAGTGAATTCAATCAAAGTAAAATTTGGGTTTAACACAATGAATTAGCCTCTCTATTGCGTCACGTGTACTGTAGTACGTGTTGGTGCAAACTAAGCATGTAAAGGATTGGTGTACTTGTACAGTCCCTTACTGAGCACATATCAACATCTCAGCGAAGGTGGGGATGCAAGTCATACACAGAGAAAAGCCAATGACCACCAGCATGACGACAGTAAGCCAAAGCTGACTAAAAAGACCAAAAAAATAAACAATGAGACTTTAAAATATACCATTTTCAGCCCATGCAGGTAGAGCTTCATACTGAAACAGCATCATAGATTCCACACTGATGTGTTATATGCTTACCTCTTAACATGCAAAACAGGAACAGGACCAAGTAAACAAAAGCTAACTGCTGTGGCCATTCCTCCCAACACCATCATCCACCTCCTTATAAACTGCACAACAAAACCGAAATTAAACATAAAGAATTATGTTTTCATGTTAAATGACATGAAAACATAATTTCATAAAGAATACAAAAAGACAGCAACATCAGTAAAAGTCTTAAATAAGGTCCACCTCAAAGGCACCTAACCATGTGTAGCATCTCTCGGCAGTGGTAAAGCTATAGGTTTACTTACTGGATACTTATCACTGATTATTCCAAAGACAGGGGACGCAGCACCATAAGGTAATGACACCCCGATCATGAGTAGACCCACAGATCCAGTGCTCATGCTAAACTGCTCACAGAAAAGTTGATGAATATCAGTTATAGCACTTTTTACTATAGTATTAAATCGTTTAAAAAATTAGACAATTTAAGTGACTGCTTTCATGCAAATATTGGTTAAATACAAAAATTCATTTTAGGCCATACACAAGGATAAAGTATATGTTAATATACAGTATCTTTTCAGTAGGGGTGGGGGACATAGCAAAAAAACGTATCACAATACTTCAAGACATTTTGACAATAAATGATACGCATCACAGTATTCAATTTTTCAGAAATTTAACAAGTTGGAATAGATAAAATAGAACCTGTAGTGCCACATATATAAACAATAATAATAATAATCATAATAATAATAATACAACTGCAATCTTTTTTCAATGTTTCACAAACCACACCACACTAAATCCTATTAAACAGGCCTAGCTATGCCCACTTCTAATAAAACATGTAGTTGGTGTTCTTTAAGTACCGAAAACAGCCACAATATGTTTATAAATGCATATTGTGACATAATTGATCACGAAAACAAACAATAAAATATCCTCATATTACCCACCCCTACATTTCAGTACATGCTTTAAGGGGAATTCCACAGATTTTTCCAAATCTCTGCATAATTAAATTGCGATGTAAAACTTTCTCTTCAGAGCTTTCAGAGGCATTAAACACAGTTTGGACATCCGGTTCCTATCACCACCTCCTTAAACAATTCTGACCATTTACAGACCCTGTTATCCAGAGTGATGTCTGAGTGAAAATCTTCATTACCTTCTCCATGGCAAATATTGACAGAGTTGCATCCAGGAAGCCAATGCCTGAGCTGAGAGTGAATACCACAAAGCAAATGAGCATGATCTTTACTCGGGTACACAGCCTGAGGAAAGAGGCCTGCGATGCAACCGCATCTGAAAAAGGAACACGACTATAGACATATTTATTTCTGCATTAGACAATGAAAAAAACAATCATAATTTATATTATATTTTCTCAGTCACTTCAGAAATCATACATTAAAAACTGTTATATCCATTTAACAGTTAGAGGAAAACCTAACATGTACTCACTTTCTTCCAGGTTTAAAGAGATTAATTAAAATGAGCTGTAAGTTATTATTATTATTAATGTGACTATCTAAACAGAGTGAGTCTCTGAGCAAAGAAAGGACATCACACTTTAGTTAAATAGTTCACCAACCAAAGCTGGGTAAAATCCACATGTTTAAGGGAACGGTCAAAAACAGAAGACATCCCAAAACAATAAATGGAATTTCATATCCAAATGACTGATACATCCATCCACCCAATGGTGGTCCCAGTATGAGTCCAATTCCTGTAAATATCTCCATAAAGCCCTGTAAAATGGGAATAACATTATTTAACAAACTATATGCTGCAATAACTTTGGACATGACTTTAGAAGTAGAAGTATAAGTGATAAACATTGTTTGATCTCATGAGAACCCTGTCTAGGTCTTGTCTAGAGATGCTCCTCCAGTACGATAAAACATTCCACTAACTTTAGCCTTAATGGCACTATTGTATGAGCAAAACAGTGGGCAGTTCTCTCCTAAATACCACTGCATTGGAAAACAAGTGGTGACTAAAACTCACCAGAATAGTCGCAACATTGTGGGGAAAAACTTTTGCTGATACGGCAAAAGAAGATGTTACGGCAGCAGCAAAGCCCACTGCGTTTGCAGACCTTATAACAAAACAGAGCACTATGAAAACTGTTCCATCGGGAGCTCTGTCAAGGAAGCTGTGGATGTTTTGAAAGAAAAAAACAAAAACAAAAAGGTTTTAATAGCATTAGAACATACGTTTTCTCTTTGTCTTGTCATTTTAAAACTATGTCTGAAAATGGCTTCAGCCAACTTTAAAAGTCCATGCTGCAAAAAATCTTGTGTCTCCAAAATGGTAACTTTACAGACAGGGACAAAAACATTCTTAACGTTCAGTGTGAGTTCATGTTCAACAAGATTTTATTCAAAGCAATTTTGGACCACTTTATTGGTGCATTTATCATGCAATATAAATATAAACATATTCCACATATTTCAAATATATTCCACAATATAAAGGGCAGCTGGTATTTTTACATGATTTCAAAAATCATGTAAAAGATAAAAGTTGGAGGTACAAGGTATTGTTCTGACAACGATGATATGTTTATTAATAATGGAAATGCTACCCCAATGTCTAAGCTAATAACAAGCATACAAACAACTCAGTACTCACCCAAAGACTACAGTGCATCCGCCTGAAATGAACAAGCCTGCAGTTATCATAAACTTGGCCCCAATTTGGACAATCTAAATGAAATGAAATCCATGGATAAAGCTAAACACAGCTTATACCTGGACGGCTGGTTGTAACCACCTTTGTAATTCAAAATGGGTGAATAGCTTACATATTTGCCCAGTATTAACGATCCAACCAAAGTGCAGAAAGCATAGCATCCAAATATCAAACCGATGACTGCTTGACTGACTCCTTTCTTTTCTGCCTATATGAAATAAAATTGAGTGACAATATTTAAATTGGTAATAAAATTGACAATTTAATAATACTTATTTTATATTATAAAAAAGGGATAAATATATATATGTAAAAAATATTAAAAAACGCAATGTGACGCAAATCATCACCAAAACGTTAAATGATGTCATATTGTCCATTCCTAGATAACCTAAGCACTTACTTCATGAGGGAAAAATGGTCCCAATATCGAATAGCATATCATTGAGCTGAAGTTTATGGACGCCATCGCAATAAGAGTTAAGATCTGTTGTCGGGTCATCTTTAGACCAGGCGTCTCAGGAGGACAAGGGCAGTCCACGTGATTAGCTGCGTGTAATAGTTGACAAAAAGGTCAGGACAAGCAATACAGGACAAGTTTCCAGACAGATAAAGGAGTAATTTGCAAACTTATGCGATGCAGCACTCGTTTACTTGGTGTCTGAATGAAAGGCCATGTTTTCGTCAGTTAAGAAGAAGCACATTAGGCTATCTGCGGCACCGAAACGAATTCCCACATTTCCACAGGAAGCACAGGCTAACTTGGGTCTCAGGTAGGCTAATTTCAGTGAATAAATATGAATGAACACTCAGACCTTAGCACTACATGCGAAAAAATAACAGAAAGACTCAGTTTACATACCTGTAAGCTGGTCTACGCTTGTAGCCATATCGCCGGGTCTCTTCAGTGAACTAAAAGATTACAGAGCTTGAAGTTTGCTTTGTCAGAAGGAAAGTGAGTAAATGAGATATTTTCCCCAAGCGTATTGACAAATCCCGCCTCTTGCGCTCCGATTGGCTAGTAGTTCACATAGGCGGTCCTATGGCGCTGTCCTATTAGTACCTATCAGCCAATCCTAGAGTAGGAGGCGGGATTTGCGTGGCCGACACAAACAAAATATGCCGCACAAAAAGTCAGCCATGGCCTGTGTCTTCACTGACTTCCCTGTAGCTTCCCACACAGACGACAACACTGCCTTTGTGGTGAGTTTGCAGCTAAAAGCAGAAGAGAGAAGACTGTTAACTAGAAACTCTTTGCCTAATGCTGTACTTGGGTGATGTGGGCGAGGCTATGTGTGCCCCCGGTGCACCATCAGAGGGGGAAAGGGCACTGTGGGCCCGGCTGAGCTCATTCACGTAGACTTTGTAGCATACAGGGACGAAGCCTCACTCCACATACGACTTTAACTCTTATGTAATCAGTGTATTAGCATAAACTATATCAGTCTCCAGAGCTGGGCTGTTACGGAATACGGGTATTGGGAATGCGTAGTTAGAATACAAAAAGTAAGGTTCTGTTTAGTCCAGGTTACATTTTGCAAAGGCAGTGTGCAGAATACAGTTAACTTTTGCATTTTAAGGAGAATACTTTTGGAATATTTTACAAACTAAATAAAAAAAACATACAATATATTATTATAATATTTTAGAATCAGTGCACGCATGTAGCAAACATGCTCATTAGACATGCTTAAGAGGAACTCGATTAGCGGCTTCTTTAAAAACGCTTAAGTTCCTACTAAAGCCTGAGTAGACTGATACATCAATGTGATGATCAGTTACTACTCTCACTATTACTGAGCTCTTTTTTGGGACGATCACGCTAATAATCTCCTCAGTAATGAAGATGTTTGCAAGTGATAAGTTTAGCATTGGTGTGGTACTGGACTCCTTCTCGGAAGATTATAGGAGAGCGATGGACTAAATCAGGCGGCGAGAGGGTGAGAAAAAGTTAAGAATTTTCAGAACTTCATGTAAATGATGTATTTTTTTTCATGAAGCGTGTTAACGGAAAAATGGCATGAAGAAAACTGCCAACCAGTAACAGTGAGGAATAATGTGAATTAATTTTAGAAAGTTTTTCTCATCTGCACTCAGGAGGGACACCGTCTCTGCCAGGCCATGAGTGTGGCACCTGCACCCAAGTCTCCGTCAGTTACGGCTGTGACTAGGCTGGAGCCATGGCCGATGGACCCAAGCTGTGCATCCAGTTTTTTCCCCAAGATCTTACCCTAAATTCATGAATGAGTGTATTTAACCGGTGTACTTCACAGTAGGGTAACTGCCATTCATTCCCTGCTACACCAGGGCTTTGAGGCTTGTGGACTTTACCACTGATATTTGTCAGATAGGCCAATTATTTGTTTTTTATGGCCTATAGCTTCATCCAGAGGCTGCCTGCAGGGTAAACGTCATCTTCCTCCACATCCTAGGCACTGCTAAAACATCCGTCACTGGAGGATACTGTGCAGTAGCAACATGGTTATCACTGTGCATACTCCTGCTTCCACAGAGTTACAGTAACCCTCCTCATACAGTGAGCTCAGTAGTGGGTTTTAGTGTGAGAACAGCATTTATATTACTGGTTACATCACATGGCATGTTGTTGCGTGACTTGGATGTAGGTATATGATGAGTATCCACTATATTTTTGCACGCCCTCTGACAGGCATCCGGAGAATGAGAACCAAAGTAACATTCACAACTAGCACCATATATATGGCATGTCTGTCTGACTACAAACATTTTACCAAAGGTTAAGAACAAATAGGAAAAATGAAATAGATATAAATCGATAAACATCTCTCGTTTCTTCAAACTAGTTTGACTTTATTCTAGTGACGCATGTTCTGTTCGCTCGTCGGCTACTGCACACACTTTCCTAATGCTTCAGAAACATCCTTGAGTTAATATGACAAGCTTATCATGGTTTATTTTACATTACAATAATAAAGCAGTAGCACAGTTAAAGCCTCACATTCCACACAATTCAAACTGGGCCTGAATAATCCAGTATAATAGAATTAGAAATTGCTGCATTTGCAAATCATCAAAGCATATACAACACCAAGAACAAGAGAACGCTCATATCAGCCATCTTCTGTCGACACAGTAACTCTCAGCAAAGTTTTAGCTTACACCAGAAATATAAAAATGAACAAAACAGATAAAATTCAATAAGGGCATGAATATATGTAATTGCTAATTAAACAAAACAATAAACGTTTACTTTTTTTACTGATTGATTATATATAGAGAGACAGTTTTCCAGACATGGAATAACCTACAAACAGACCAAAAAAGGCTTGCCAGTGTAATGTATTCTTAACATGTAGCCAGAAAGCTGCCCCATTAACAAATAAATTAAACATAAATCCCATCAAATAGATACATAAGGTATTTTTGTCTACATTTGATGAAACACAATACAAAAAAAATGATGTCTTTTAAGAATGAGAGAAAATCATATCCCACCCATGAGTGCAGCTGTTATTTAGTTTTATGTGCATTCTCATTTTCACCCTTTACCTCAGTTTATACATTCTAATATATTACTAGGCCAAATGAATCATATGCGTTTAGACTGAATTAAATTTCCTTTGTCCAAAATAAATTCTATGCATTTTGTATTTGTGTCATTGTGAACATACTGTTCAAAAACCAAACACTATGTACCTTTGTTTACAATTCTATAACAAGTGGTGATATTCAGTGATGTGGTGGTACTATTGGAATTCTACACATTACAGTGATTCACATGATATTGATACCCTCTGGTTCATCATCTCCAAACATCTATTTAAGAGTTCTACAGGGGAAAACTGCTACCATAACACACTGCTAATAACACACTAAAATAAGATGAGACATGTTTTGTATACAAAAATTAAGACACATAACTATGAAAACAGTGGATGTAATGGCACATTAAAGTGAGTGTTAGTAATGTCTGATGTATGACTACTCCTCATAGGGCTACCCTACTCCTGGATATCTACCCTCCTACAAAGTTTCAGCCCCAACCTAACACATGTAACTAATGTTTGCATGTTCCTGGCCTTTCTGATTAGGTAAATGAGGTGTGCTACTTTAGTGCTGGAACTAAACTTTGTAGGGTGCAGGAATGGGGCAGGCACCTCAGTAATAGACAAAAGTCACAAGTTTAAATGTATTTTCACTCATGGCATCATCCCCTTTGTAGGCAATGGTAAATAATCTGCCAATTTCATAACGCAGTTTACACTTGGAAAACAACCTGCAGTAAGGGTCCTCAATAAGGGAATCCTATTAGCACAGGGTAACGGATTTGGTAATTGTCTTGCATGCATTTTTTTAGCCTTTCATATATCAATGTTATGAAACATATACACATACACACTAACGAAAAAAAAAACATAAATAGGAACTCATCTGTACCAGCTCTATTTTTTTTCATTCAGTTACCTTTTTTCAAGAAGTCATCCAGCAGTCTATCAAATTTACATTTTTTTGTCTCTTTAGCTTAAAAAACACTAATATATGGGTGGTTTGACAATTTCTGTATGTTTTAAATACCTCTAAAGTGTACTACGTCTCTGACTGTCCGAATTCCCCTGACAGTTAACTGTATGTCCCAGCACAAGACAAGCAGGAGCCTACCATTTTATGGCAACACAAAGCATTCTTTTGCATCCTTTTTCACAATGCGCAGTCAGCAAACATTAACTGTGCTGTGATGTGTGATGGCTGGAGCTGTCTTTATTTAAGCCTCTGAGTCACGTTGGCCAAGGCGACAGCAAATGCTTGCACAGCTGAGAATGGGTACTGAAAATCTAGGATGTATGCATTACCATCAATTCTGCCAAACTGCATCACCTGAAATAGAAGATAAAAGGTAAGTTATAAAATGTATAATGCATGTGCTAATTTAAAATGAACCAAATATTACTGAAAACAAACTGCTTTGTACAAAACACCAAAAGAATGTCTAAGTAGGTGTGGACAATATGGAAAAATTATAATGTTGCAATACTTCAAGACATTTGTATGACACACAATATGCATTCCGACATTTTGTTTGGTTTTGAGTTTTGATAAGCTGGAACAGACAAAAATGAACCAGTAGTGCCACATTTAAAAATACTATTAAAACTTGTCCAATACAAAATCCATTAAACAGGGCGAATTATGGTCTCTTTGTAATGGCTCATGCAGTTGGTCTACGCTCACAATATCCATGATATGCTGAGAAACGCATACTGTGATGTAATAAGATGTAATTTATTGGGCTGTCAAACAATTAAAATAATCATGAATAATCACATTGTCTTTGGTCGCTTTGCTCATTTTGATTTATTATTCAAGAATTTTCCTTTTGTTAGTTTGCAAGTTGTTGATTTATCCATAAGTCTCCTGTGAGCACTGTCCAGTATAGTCTTCAGAAGTTGTCCTCCTGAGCTAATGTTACTGATATTGCTGGCATCACCTGGGTATTTTGCTTGTACTTTGCTGATACTTCAGACTCAATGTATTTTGGTGATAAATTCACTGCATAGCAAAAGCTGAAAGTAACTTAAGAGAGCTATTAATAGAAGATGCCATTACAAAGCTGTATGTGAATGAGAGGGCTACAGTGGCGGAGTCTTAACAACAGCACCCAAGCAGCTAGGCTTTAGACTGGAGCTACAGAAGGTTTGTAGGGTCAAACTAGGAAAATATGCTAATGGACATCAAAAAAAATTATCAGAATTTATCAATAACTTTGATACCACTACTAACTTAAACTATATGTCCAAAAGTATCCAGACACCTCTTCTAATAAGTGAATTCAGTTACTGAAATAGTGAACCTAGGGATCAGTGGCACTCACATAACGTATGTAATCCTTAAAGAAAAGAATTGCCAATAAAATGGGACATTCCAGAGCAGCCATGCATGAACCTGTGTTCACCATGCCCAATGCAACGCATCAGGATGTATAAAGCATTGGGCGGCCATAGAGCAATGGAAATGTGTTCTCTGGAGTGATGGAGCTCCATCCAATACCTTTGGGATGAGCTGGAGTGGCTTTTGTAATTCAGAACTAATCATCCAACATTAGTACCTAACCTCACTAATGCTCTTGTCGCTGAATACAGCGATGTTCCAATGTCTAGTAGAAGCTGTTATTGTAGCAAAGTGAGAACAAAGTTCCTTGAATGCCCTTGATTTCTGAAGAAGCTCTGGATGAGCATGTCTAAAAACATCTGGACATATAGTGGATCATAAAAAATATGATCATATTGCCCACCCCTATGTGTAAGACTTGGGAAAATATGCTTCCTCCAATAAATTATTGTAAGAACTGTTATAACCAATGTGAAATAGTGGTATAAATTAAGAAAGAAGACGAACAAAAAAAACAAAGACCTACCTGTCGTCCATCCAGCTCTATCTGAAAGTTTTTGGCTGACTCTTGCGTCACTCTTCCTCCAAAGTCAAGCTGGTAGACTTGGGTAGCTTCATTCCACAAGGGCTGTTTGTTGGCCATGACATATACGAAGCCCTGGCTGCCAAGGCCCCGATCTTCTCTCTCGTTTGCCTTGCGGCACTTAATCTCCTCCAGTTCGTTTGCTGTGCGCAGGCTGCGTTTACTCTTCCAGCCTTTCTTGCTGCTCTGGCTTTGATTCATTAGTTCATCACCACTAATGAAAAGTTCAGGCTCACTTTCTGAGCTGTCTTGGAATTCATTTGTGGTCCTGCTCAACTTTTTGGCCTTGTTCAGCTGCTCCTTCTGTCCCTTAGGCTTCTTTTTCTCTCGTACTCCAAGCCTTGGGCTGGAAATGAGAGAATTGAAGTCAGACAGTGCACGGCCTTCCTTTTTTGATTTGCTCTCAGAAACAGTGGACATGTTTGCCTCCTCTGCCCTGCTGTCAAGTCTCTTGCGACTTTTTTTGCTGAACCTGTCTGCTCCCTGCGGTACTGGACTCTCATTAAGCGAGGACTGTTCCTGAAAACTCTCACCAGAGTCAGCTAACACCTCTGAGGTGCTTTGATGGTTCAGGAGTTCAGCTGGAGGAGGAGGAGGGGGGAGAGGGGGAGGAGGTGGTGGAGGAGGTGGCGGAGGAGGTGGTGGCGGAGGTGAAAGAACAGGCTTCTCCAAACCCTGATGCATCTTACTTGGTAAGGTCGCTGAGTGGTCCTGCATGGGAGGGCAAGCACTATATGTGCTCCAGGGATGTAAGGCCATTGGATGCAGCTGAAGGTTGGTGCATGAGCTGGCACCAGGGTACATGGGTGGTAGCGGACAACAAGCTAGATTGGCCATATTATTTGCATAACCAGGAGGCAAAACCAGAGATGGATCCTGCTGACTAAATGGAACTGATGTTACCATGTCACTTGTCCCACATGCCTGTGGAGGACTTTGCAAAGACTGAAGCTGAGGTCCACCATGGCTCACACCAGGGGGAAAGGGAGAGAGAGAGATCTGATAAGCTGATGGCAAGGTCATAGCACTAGGACTGGAGGGAGGTTTTGTTGAGAGAACAAAAGGCATTCGGGTTATGTCTAAGTGCTGTGCTTGGCTGAGTAAAAGTGGGGGTGGTTTGTGAGGTCCTGGTGGACTAGTCAATATATTTTGATCCTGGGGCATCCACATTTGGTCTGAAGCAGGAGAATCCCACTGGTAAGGTGGTGGCCGTTTCACTGTTAAACTGACATCACCGAGTGTTAAATGCCGCACAGATTTTTCCAAATGGCACTGCTGGTTTAGTGTCTCATCTTCAGTAAAAGCAGAGTTGATATACACAGTCCTATCTCGGCTATTGTCAACTGGACTCAACAGGTTGTAAGAGGACTGTGAGGCCAGGGGTGAAGCACTTTTGGAGTGCACAATTATAGTACTGTGTTGGGCCCCTTTGCCAGGGGGAAAATCTTGTCGCACTACAGTGCCACCTGCAATGCCACTGCTGTTGCTCCCACCACCACTGACACTTACACTAGAGCTGCTGCTGTTACTGCTGCACTGAGTGCAAGTGTACAAAGCGGTGGGGATCCTGGGCTGGTAAGAAAGTGCAAGGGCACTGTTAACTTTAGATTTGGTTGGTAAAGTCCTTACTGTATCCACCATTTGAGAAATTTTCAGAGCAGTTTCTCTGCGATCCCGTCGCATAGTAGCATGGATAAGACTGCTGTCAATCCTTTGTGTAGGACTCCTAATGACATTAATCTGGTTAGCAGGGTCAGGGTATGGTGGCGGATCTCCACTTGGTATGGAGTATCGAGGCACTGAAAGGCGGCTCAGAGTTGCTGAGCTATAGGGAAGCTGGACTTTCTTGTTTTCTGATGAGGTGACTTTTAATGTAGCCGAACTGCCCATTCCTTGCATACTGTAGGCATTCTGGTTCCGTATGAGACGTCTCCGTGGCCGACACACCTCTTCTACGTTTCCACTGCTGTCAAAAGTTGTGATCCTTTCATAACCCAGTGGAGTTGGGTACTGGATGGTCACTGGGTGAAGAGAGAACTCATCCTTAGTTAAGCATGAGTCTGCTGACAATGTGTTAGTATTCTCACTGTTACCAATGAGGCCTGGAGGGGCTGTAGGTGGGACAGCAGCTGCTGCAGACACCACTGTACCTGGGTATGGTGGTGGAGGGTTCATTTTGCGCATTTGAATTTCAAGAGCGGTGTCACTTTCAATAAATGACTGTGGCCTAGAAGGGACCTTCAGAGTATGTGTTTGCTCTATTCTGTCTGGTGGTTGGTCTGGGTGAGGAATCTGAGGCATCATCTGGAGCTGATGCATGGAAATAGGAGTGTACGATGAAGGAGGAGGTGGTAAAGATATTTGCATTTTGAGCTGCTGCTGCATTTGTTGATGCTGCCTTTGCATCTGTTGATGTTGCTGCTGCATTTGTTGGTGCTGCTGCTGAAGCTGTTGTTGCTGCTGCCTCATCTCTTGAATTTGTTGCCGAATTTGTTGCTGCTGCTGTTGCATTTGCTCATGCTGGAGCTGCATCTGATGGTGCTGTTGCTGTATTTGATGCTGATGTTGTTGCTGTACCTGCTGATGCTGTTGCACTTGCTGCTGTAACTGCTGTTGCTGCATTTGCTGATGATGCTGCTGCAGTTGTTGCTGCTGCTGCATTTGTTGATGCTGTTGCAGTTGCTGCATTTGTTGATGCTGTTGCAGTTGCTGCTGCTGCATTTGTTGATGCTGTTGCAGTTGCTGCTGCTGTATTTGTTGATGCTGTTGCAGTTGCTGCTGCTGTTGTATGTGCTGTTGAATCTGTTGATGATGCTGTGTTTGCATTTGCTGTTGGTGCTGCATGTGCTGTGGATGCTGCTGCATTGGTTGTTGGTGCTGTTGCTGTGCTTGTTGATGCTGCTGCAACTTCAGATGCTGCTGTTGTGTTTGAGTCTGATGTTTTAATTGTTGATGATGATCTTCCTGTTGCTGCTGTTGCTGACGCTGCTGATGGGGTTGTGGTGGTAAATGATGTGGTGGTGGTGGAAGTGTCCCACTTAAAAGGTTGCCCATTTCTAGGCCACTGAAAATTACTTGTCCAGGGCTGGAGTACCTTGTCGGCACAGTGTACTGTGCTGTCACATTGTCAGGATTATGATCAGGGACTGTTGTGTTGGCTGCTGCCGCTGCTGCTGCAGCAGCTGCGGCTGCAGTGGCTGTAGGATTGGTCAAGACATCAAGCTGAATATTCTGATTGGCCAGGAGAGACTGGACAAGTCCTATGCTCTGTGTGGGTGACATTGCTTGAGCTGGACTATGTATAGGAGCAATTGGAATATTAACTGTGCAGGGAGGATTATCACCTGACACACCAGAGGGTCCCATCACTGAAAAGAAAATCATAGTGCCAGGCCATTAATCCTACACACATATATAGACATTTAATACTTAATACATTCTTTAATACTTTAATATTTAAAAAGAATGTATTCTATAAACACTCACCTGGTAAATCATCTTCATCTTCACTGAATACATTAGGATTGAAGACTGGTAAACTCATAAAGTCTGGGGAAATTTTACGGACCTCTGGTAGATAGATTGTCATCTGACGTGGTTGCAAGTGCAACAAACTGGTTTTATAGATAACTGTAACATAATGAAAACATAACAGTATGATACATTATCAATGATAGTGAACTCGGTGTAGCACAACATATCATGAAAACAACACCTGAGATTTTCTCTGACAAAGTTTTCTTACCTGCACCCAAATTTGCTGGCAAAAAGGAAGCAAGTCCCACAATCTTGAACTTTGTGCCCCAAATGTTAGAGGTGACTTGAGCAAGATAATTATGCTGCAATGTAAACAATCATTTTAAAAAGCTGACTGATAAAAAAAAGAAGGATAGAATTCCATTTTTAAAAACTTCCATTCTCATACCTCACTCATTCCATCTACTGGAAATTCTCTGCGAGTCAGACTTGGAGACCGTATGGTAGGTTTCTTTGGTAACCTTGGAGACCTGGACATTTCTTGAGATGCTTGGGCAAGCTTGGGAGACTTTCTTGATTCCATATTGATTCTAGTAAATAAAACACAGTAAGAACAGCTGAGGAAATATGCATATTCTAATAAAGGGTAGGCAATATGGTAAAAACCATTTTCATGATACACAAAAGACAGTGTTCACAAAACACAGAAGAAGCGCCTGCAGCAATACTGTTGACAATCCGCTAGTATAATATGTATAAGCAGTCAATGCCAGCTATGGCTTCCAAATAAAGACAGCAAGAAAAAGTCAATCTGGTCTTGATCCATACCCAATCAAGAGGTTAGCTTTGAGTTCTGACTATGCGTTATTGCCCACAATAACATATCCAGACATCTTTAAATATTTGTAATATTTAAATATTTGTAATATTTGTAAAAATATTCGTAATTATTTAGTCTGTGAAAGGGTCAGATATTCTGTCTTTTATACCTTTAACTATACATTCAAATGCCATAGTGATTGGAAAAGTGAATAATAGCTGCATATCTGTGTTTGATGTGGTTAATCAGTGTTAGCTTGATGTTAGCTTAAGCTAGCGTGAGCCTCGCTAACATTTTGGCTTTCTCTGGCTTTTTCTCAGCTGCGTTCATTGTCTAGCTAAAGGATAAGCAATGTTAGTCAATCATGAACAATTCTCAACACTCAAAAATGATCAAGAGCAAAAGTACAGAATTCATTCTTCACCTAATTGTGTACCTATGACAGAATGATGAGAGTTGACTATATAGTATAGGGAGATGGCAAAAAGCTTTTCTTGTTTATCACTATCAGAAGATTTCTCCTTTGGTGGCTCAACTCTTCAGCTTCTTTGCCCTTATGACATCAAACATCCAGGATTCTCAAAGTCCTACACCATTTTGTTTTTTGTTGCTGTTGTTACTACAGTCATTAACCTCACAACGCACCATGGCCATTATTTTAGCTGTCAGGATGCTTTATTAACTAACAGTGTGCTAACAGTGGCTTTGTAAGCGCCACTGTCATCGCCACTTTGACTGGTGGTATGTCAACAATATGGCAGTGGTGACAAGAATGGTGTCAATCGAATACTATCTATATGTATTAAGACCCTAGTTCTTCATATTCATTTTATTTTATAATGGATTTTGTATGTGTTTGACTAGGGGTGGGAATCTCTAGGCACCACACGTTTCGATTACGATTCAGAGGCTGCGATGCAATTATAAAACGATTATCGATGCATTTTGATGCATCCTTTTTTCTATACAGGATTTCTATTTTCTCACTGTGCGAGGACTTGGTACTTTTAAAGCAAAGTATTTGTGATGATCCATAATGAATTTCCTTCCAATATCTTTTATTAATAAAACAAATTGAAGTGATGTGGCAAGTGAACTGGAAGGCTCTCATTCACTGCTCTTGTTTTGGAGCACGTGAGACGCAGGCTGCCAGTCATCAAGAGATAAAGTGTACAGTTACAGTGACATAAGATTCTGTGGCAATGAATGTCCACGCAGCACATGTTACAGCCGTCCTACCCGTTTTCTTTAGTGATTTTATGACTTCGGTTTGGTCTCGTTGTAGAGAGTGGGGTGAATCACTGTGTCAGTAAAATATGTTCGAGACGGGACGCTATATCTCCGCTCCAAAGTGTGCAACATAGCGCGAAAGCCCTGGTTCTCAACGACTGAGATGGACGCAAATCCTTGGCAATAAAATTTGCGATAGAGTTTGTATTTTGTATGTAGAGTTTTGTATCCCTTTCCGAGATGGGTGGAACCTTTGACATCGCTTGATCGATGGTCCTCTGGTTGGCAGGAGGTACAACCGGAAGGAAAATGGGTGGAAACATGTAATATGGTTTCTCATGTTCGTCGTTTCCAAAATATTTTAGTTTAGTGTGACACAACTTGTATATAGTATAACAGGCTCTTATCCAGGCCCCTTTCCCCAGTTGTGCAAACTGCAGGTCACATAGCAACACAGACAGTTTCGCCTAGCTAGTCGCTAACGAAAAGGCAAAGAGAAAGATTTAAGGCGAACATTTGGAGTTGAAAGAACTTATTTGCATTTATAAGCACTGCAGTTGGTTTCCTAGTACGATAAATCTTCAACGAGAGACTGTCAAACACTAAAAAGTTGCGAAGATGAAGCTTCTCTTTCAAATTTTCCCGTTCCAACTTAAATGGTGCATTTACATTCTGACGCCTCAGGCAGAATTTAAGGTGGAACGGGAAAATTCGAACAAGAAGCTGGAGAATGAGAAGCGACTTCAGCCTCATAAAACAGTCGAACGTTGAGAGACATTTTACAATAAACTGTTCAACTTTTGAGGAAAGGTTTCCTGTCGGAAATGGGAGGAAAGCGGCTATGGCTAAATCTTAAAGGAGAGCAAAGTAAGTCTGCGTTTTCAGTTATATTTTTTAGCCTATACTCCTGACCTAATCTAACTTTTAATGCAGAGGGTGCCGGTCGGATGTCTCACTCATCCAGTTGTGTTTTTGTTATGTGCCGCCACAGACTGTCCTGAACTGTGCGCTGAACTTCCGCACTTCCAAGTTCCACCTTTTGCATTACGTCAACATTACGTTATAAATTAAAATTTAGAAAATTGATTTTTGACATTTGTGAATCGATTCGGACTCGTCCACGTCCACATTGCGATGCATCTAAGAATCGATTTTTCCGCCACCCCTATGTTTAACAGTAGTTCAGAGTATGCTTTTGCACTCAAATTATATTATACAATACCCAGTCTATATTATACTCACAGATTCATATTTTATAATGTCAGTGCAGGCAATGACAAAATTGTACCTGGGAAGTTTAGGGGACCTGTTTCCTCTGGAAAGCTTTGGCGACTTCCTTCCAACCCACTCATCACTCAACTCAATATCACTAGAGTCGGAGCAGTTGCAGCTGTCAGTCATGTAAGATATCATACCGTTCACGCAGACTTCATCTGTAATTCAATGATAAATTAACGTTAGCTTTGAAAGAGCTGCCTTGCTGCATCTGAAAAGATCCATGACATTTTTCGGTACTGAAAAAATGGTTTCTGATTAAAACTCTACCTGTTTTGCTGTCCATTTTGGGGTCCATTATAACAAACTCTGGACGCAGTTTGCTGATTCGACGGCCTTTGAGGATAGGCACCAGGCCTCCCAGATGCTCCAGGTACAGGGTATAACATGGCCCTCCGGCCTCAGGATTCTCTTCTGCACGCTTCATAGTACAGTGCAGTCTCTCATTCCCCGCCGTAGGGTAGCTGACAAAGTCACGTATGTTGTTTGGATCAGGAATTGGAGGCTGTAGATATAAAAGGAAGATTCATACTGAACTGCTGTTTTAAATAAATATTTGACATTTGTGGAGGCAGTATACATTGTTAGTTACCTTGATAGTTGGGATGAATGCACTGGTAACATAAGAACAGAGGAGGGAAGGCATGTTCAGTTTGCCCACATCTCTCTCTTCTCTCAGGGCACTGGCTATGCCCTGCTGACACAGCAGCTGGAGGCTGGCCACCCGGTGCTCCACACGCACGACATACAGTGCTGGCCCACATGCCAGAAACAGCCGTGAGTCCCGGTGACCCCAGCAGATAGTAGTGATAGGCCTCTGAAATTAGAACAGCCACACAGCATTTGCAAATTGATCTACCACTGATCCTGACAGAGTGGAAAAGGTTATGTGACCCAGTAATGCATTTATTTATATTATTATATGAAATTCAATTCAAACTTGATTTGACAGTTTGGTAAAAAAAATCAAATTTATATGAGTTTACCCTTACCCCAAATAGTTGATAAGCAAAGAAATGCTTGGAGAAGGGGGTTTTGGACCTAGACTATGTGTTTTCTCATACATATGACAATGTTATATACAAAAATGCACAAAAGTACACACTTTCGGGCTTCATAATAGCTGCCACTTCTGTACCTTTGTTTTTAGAAAACAGCAGATCATACAGCATCAGAAAGCACACAAGCAAATCCTAACAACTCAATATTCTAATCCTAACAAAGTGCAATATTCATTCAAATTTAATTTAATTTCACTTTGACTAAAATGGCAAATAGTTTTAGTAGATTAAAATAATACCACCTTAGTCATTTATTTAAAATATGAACTGCAGGTATAACGTAATAAGTTTATAAGTCTACTTTACAATTTTTCTTCAATAGTATTGGGAATAGGAATGAAATGCTGGTATGAACAAAAAGTTTAGACAGCAGAGGCTGGGGACCTCGGACCCCACGTCTACAGCTGGTCCATAGTTTAGTATAGTTAATTTGCAGGAAATTTCAACTCGACTTGCCACTGTGTCACTTGCCACTAAATCGCAGCTACAAATTGCGTACTGCCAGAGGAGATGACTGGTCGCCTGTTGCCTGCTGTGTAACCATACACAAGTTGTTTTTGCCAGCCAGCTTGTATTGCTGTTACCAACTTCACATATCTGTTTTTAGACAAGACTTGCCATAAGTAGTATTAAACTCAATGTACTACAACGTTCATAAACCACCACTAGCTTGGTGCTGACATAACATTGAAAAGGCCATAAGAGCGCTAATACTAAATAGCATCATTTCTGTGACATTCGCTCATTGAGCCTTTAAACAGTGATGAGAATTACTTTGGACATCATGTATGTCTGTGACTAGATTATTAATTTTTGAATGTTTTCATTATGTTTACATTTTTTATTAGTAGAAATAAAGCATATGTTTTGTTATATAACCTTATTTATGTTTCTTCACATTTTTATCAAGCTGAAATTTAAATAATTTTAGTATCGTCATGGAGCCGATTTTATTACTACTGTTGATAAAATGAAAAAGCACTTATCAACAAGCATTTTCATTAGTAAAATCACTGACAAGATCAACATAAAGTTTGAGGCATGCAGTTTGCTAATTTGTGGAGTGTAAGGGTATAAGCATTTTATAAATGCACATTTATGGGCATATTTATTGGCATCAGCAGATATGTACACGAAAATTATTGAATGCTGGCATTGGCCCAGAATTCCCATATCTGTGTAATGACTTTGCTGATTGTCTTGCGTGATGGGTTGAGGGCAAACCTGGGCAAATCTGATTGTTTAACAAACCATTGCTTTAATCTGAGATTTATGTTTTAAAAACAACAGTAAGACACAGATAATTGATGCTATCAGTATACCACAAGACTTCATGTTGAATGACATATGACTTGGTGAATTCACCTGTGCAGGTGTTTCCAAAGTGTATATGTGTTCTCCTTGAATGTTGTAGAACTTGACAAGGGCATTTCTCATTATGGAGGCACAGGCTGATTCAGAAGTGAGTCCATGTCTCTCCATTCCAGCTACGGCTAACAAGTCTCCCTGAGAGCACCACTGCACCTCCACGTCTGTATAAGAACAGCTTAAGTGGATTATGTTGTATGGAACAATCTGTTCAAAATTCATGTTGACTTACTCTATTACATGTGCTTTAGAATAGTGAAAAATGAGAAATAAATCAACATCACTGTTGCATAGTCACAACTCTGTATCGGTGTTTCATGCGTGTGCAAAACAGCCATTACTTGAGGCCACTACTGTTGTACCTTTAAGTCCTGAGCGGATTATGTTGGGTGAAAGGTCATCATAGTTATTCATCAGACTAATGTCTCCAGAAATGAAGCTGACTGTGAGAAGTGGCTTCACATTACGCACTTTAAAGGAAAGACAGTTTACAGTGAGCTGAAGTCACAGATCAGATAAGATAGACAGTTCAATGGACTCTGTGTTCTTATAATCTATCTGTGGTTAAGAATAGCAGCAAAAATACTAACGAAATGCAGTGTATTTATAATCATGCAAATGTGGCAAGTTGTACCTTGACTTGGGGCATTGTCATCAGAGTCGGTATCACTTTCAGTACTGTCTTCCACCAGGAAGTCAGGGCAGTTCCAGGACATGCCAACAATGCCATCCGATTCATGCAGCAGGACGTGAGCAAGCATGCGACCATGGCAGTCCATTACAATCACCTGACCATCTGCTGTTCCAAACAACACCTACGCGCATACAGTGGAAGTAAGCATACTCATTATCTCCAGACAGCAATTTGATTCGAACACCACGTGTATTATCGTTCATATTTACCTGTTGGTCATCAGGAGTCCAGATCCCACAGGTGATTTGGCTTTCCAGGTTGATCTCTGATGACCAGTGCCTCTGACCGCTGACTGAGCCCACCAAGACAAAGCCATCTCTGTAGGCAATCAGGGCCTGAGTGCCATCGTGTGACCAAGTGAAATCACTTACCTAAAACACATGATATTAGGCATTAATACATTCCAAAAACAGTAAATAAACACAACGGCCAAACGTGGGGCACTACTCTATTTTGTGTCTTGGGATACATAATATGCAATGCCATTCATAAGTTATATCATTGTCGTTGCCATTTAATAATGGACATTTTAAACGTACAATGAAAAATGACTCCTTAAATATGACAGAGTACCTGAGCCCCCCGATCATTAACCAGCTCCACAGACCATCTTCCCTCATACTGTATCCACACAAATATCCCCCCTTCCATGTCACAAGTAGCAAGCTTCTGAAATGGCTCATTCCATCGGACGAGGACGACCTGTGTAGACACAGACAGCTCTTACATTATTGTTTTAGGGAAATCTATGACATGACTAGGGACGGGAAGGTTCATGGTTTTAATGATATACTGCAGTATTAAATCAAATAATAACCACAACTTTTCAATTTATAGTCCATTAATAGAATACCTGTTTCAATGCGTAATTAAACAATGCTTTTTAAACACCCTCTCATGCCTATTTATGACAACATTTATAAATACTGCAGCCCAGTGTGCATGCAACAGCTGCGTGTTGCTGTGATGATGTTCTCTAATATGCAAGAGACTAAATGACAGATATATGACTAATGAATGAGCAATATGGCAAAAATATTACATCACAATAATTCATGACACATATTCACGATACACAATATGCATCATGACATTGAAACAGACAAAAAAGCACACATCTAAAAATGCTATCCAAAATTATGAATAAAATTATTTTTATTCAATGTTTGTGCTCCATGAAATCCAAGCAAAAAAGGACTAAATGTGCTCTCTTTGTAATGAAACGTTGTTCAGTGTTGTTCAAGTACTGATGATATCCATGATATGCTCAGAAAAGCATATTTTGATGCGGCGTCATTTATCACAACGGTGAAAAATATATTGCCTACCCTTATATATGACCTTTTAGAAAAAGATGCAGGCAGAATCAGTTCTTAAAAGGCAAATCCTCTAATGTGAAACACAAACCTCACTGTTGTGCCCTCTTAAATTGAAATTAATCCTTTGTGGAGTATTCCTGTCTCTCCTGCAGTGACTGGATGTAAAAGTCACGCCAACAACACCCCTCGCATTTCCGGTGGCCAGCCATCCTTCCTCGTAGTAGCGCCTCCTGCACACCGGCTTCTCCTTCTCACTCTTAGGAACTCGTCCTTTCCATGAGAGGCAGAGGATGTTGGAGTCACTGCAGAGGACGGGACCATGTTCCACCGCAGCCAACATCCCTACTGAGTGACCAGGCTACATAGTAAAGAAGAGAGTGTGTTGAGTTGCCTTTTGTTCACCTGAAAGTATCAACACTTAAAGGAATATGCTGTTGTTTTTAAATCTAATCTCTATATGCTGCAGCTGTAGCATAGTGACGATTACCATATATATATAAATTTAACGTTTCCACATAAAAGAACAGAAAACCTTGTTTATTCAAACCATACCTACAATAGACGGCAACAGGCAGTGTGTCTGTAAGTATGTCTATTGTAAGTGTGTCTTGAGTGGGTTGTTTAACTATATACAAGGAAACAAGTTGAAATTATTGTCACTGGTGATTAACTGAACGATACGAATAAAGATTAGATTGAGTTTTCCTTCAAAATACTTACAGACATCACAAATTCTGCAAGAACTGATTAAAAACAGCAGTTCAAAAAAACATTTTAGGTAAAGGTGGGCGATACGGCAAAAATATACATCATGACACTTTTCACGATACACAATATGTATCATGATATTTAGTTTTTCCTGAAGTTTGATAAATTGGCACAAAAAAACAAGTAGTGCCACTTTAAAAAGATGTTTAATGTACTCCATTTGTAATGAAACATCATTCAGGTACGGATGATATCCACAATATGCTCAGAAAAACCACAAAATTGATCACAATAACGAAAGACATCATCATATTGCCCACCTATACACTCTTAAAAACAGGTTCTTTAAGAAAGGCAGTTGTTCTAACCATGAGTTCTATTTAGAGCCATTTTATGCTTCAGTAGTTATTTGCATGGTGAAATGGTTCTTTAGATTGATGGAGAATGTGTTGTATATGGCTCTACATAGAACCTTTTTGAAAATGGTTCTATATAGCACCAAAAATAGTTCTTGTATTGCTACAATGTCAATGTTACCATTTTCAAAAAGGTTCTATATAGAAACATATACATCACATTGTCTATCAATCTCAAGAACCACTTCACCACCAAAGAACCATTTAAGTATGAAATGAAGTGTAATATTAGGCCACTGCTGTAAACTGAAACCACCATGTAGAATATACTGACCTCTTCATAGTCCCTGGACATTATTAGTTGGAATTTTGTTTCTGAAGGTGTCTTCCATTTTGTTGCTGATTCAAGAAACGTGTAGCAGCACCTGAGGAGTCCGCACTGACTTGCAGAGATGTATTTGTTAGTGTTATCACAAGATATCACGCCATTATACTCTGCATCGAAGTCATGAGCGACACGGTTTATTTTCCTGATTTAAAAATGCCAGGGTCTCTGGAAGGCATAGTGTTTTTAAAATTTCGAAGTGTGCAGATATTCAACGGTCAGTTTTTAACAGGCCAGGTTTTCTGTAGAAAAAAAACAAAACAAAACACATCAGTGAGCGGACAAAACAATACGTGACCGGTCATGAATATTAGCTGAAAAAGACACGAAAAATCGGGTCTGATGAAGCCGCCGGTGTCCTCTCTCTGTTGACGTTTCCCAGCTTTTACGTCACGAGAGGGTAAGCAGTGTTAAAAATCACTGCAAAATCCCTGCTGCTGTTTTATTTCTCATTTCAGTCGGTCTGGGGCATTTAATTCCTATTTAAATCCTCGGGTCACTCACACAGGGCCTGTGAATGTGTATGAGAGCAGGTACGAGGCTGAAGTTGGTTCCCATTCGCCAGCTGCTTGTTCGAATGTTCCCGTTCCACCTTAAATGGACCTGAGGCGCCAGAATGTAACTGCTGCACCATTTAAGGTGGAACGGGAATAAATTCGAACAAGAAGCTGGCGAATAAGAAGCTGACTTCAGCTTCGAGGAGCAGATGAAGGATGAGGACAGGCTAGCTGCTCCGCAGCCGTCATGGCAACACGAAGGCGATGATCGCTGAATTTTAATGACATTTCACCCTGTCCCCTCGTTTTTCCAGATTTTCTTACTAAAATGTTCCACATTTACACGCTCTAGCCCACATTTATAGCTATGCTGTCGGCTCGGTGGTGTATTTATAACCAATGGTCACGATGAAGCCGTGTCAAAGTACATCATCTGTACGGGGTATTTATAACCGCCTCATAACGGCGAAATAGCACTGGGCCACATAACCGTAATTAACCAGCGCTGTGTTAAAGACAAGCCCATCTAGACTCGTTTGGAGGCGGTTTAATCAAACAGCATATCAAATATTATCCCCCTTTGGCCTTATCGCTCAGCTACCACCACCGAGCAAAGAACCTGTATGGAAAATATAACCAACACAGCCATTTTATATCGGTACAAAACCTAATATAATGTTATAACCTGCCATAAATTTATAAGCGAACTCACCTTATCCAAGTCGCTCTCAATGCGTCTAAATGGTTGCCAAGTGCACAGCATGGATTAAAACCTCTGAGGGAAACAAATGATAGCCGATGGATGAAGCGCGCTAACACAAAAAAAAACAACCTCTGCGTGAGGGATTTTAGACCCAGTAAAGGCAACCCAAACTCTGACGAAGTAGTGGATGAGACCACGTGACGGGCAAGCCCATCCAGAGGGGTACGGGGCTACGGATTAGCACTGCGGTGCGCGAGGGAACTGTGCTGATAGGAGTTGACGTTTTCCCGTTTGCTTACCTTGTTTCCACACTAGTAAGATAGGCCATGCAGGAACACGGAAAGAGAGGTCGGACATGATGTTTGTTCCGTTTATTGATGAGCAACTACACATTTGCAGATGGTATGAACCTCTGCTTTAGCACCGAGACACTTACAGCCTACTCTAGTAAAAAGGACAGAAATGTGGAAGCATCAGCAGAAATGGTTGTGATCATTGCATGGAATTTATTGCTGTTTCAGTCCATATTTTCAGATGTGTCAAAGCAGTCTGAATACAAGTGTTAGTGGCATGATTTTATTGTTCATATTAAATTAAATGTTTGCAATTGCACAAAACAGACTATATACAGTCATGATCGTCTTCGCTTGGTTTTGCTTCAGACATCTAAGTTACATAGGAAATAAGCAGGAGGCGAGATCACTTACAAAAAAGAACTATAGAAATACTATCAGAAACTGTAAGATTGCTATAGTGCTGTATATACTTTTATAGTAATTATTATATGTTTGCTTCAATTCAATGTAATAGTCATTTAGTACCGTTTTATAGTAATCTACAATACCTGGGTAGTATTCCTTAGTACAGTGTTTCTCAATCCTGGTTCTGGAGGCCCACTGTCCAACACATTTTAGTGCTTTTACTGCTTTAACACAACCACAGTAACTCAATAATTGGCTGTTAATGAGCTGATTAGTTGGATCAGGTGTGTTGGGAGCAGGAAAGACACTAAAAAGTGCAGGGCGGTGGGCCCCATATTGTCGCTGTACAACGAAAAACAAGTATCTCCAAAATAGTAACTTTACAGGAGAGGGCGAAAACGTTCTTTACTTTCAATGTAAGTTAATGGGAGAAGTTTTTATTCTAAGCAATTTTGGAGCATTTCTATTGCTCCAATCATCATGAAGTTTTCACACAATGTAAAGGACATCTACTGAGCTCAAATGATGCAGAAAAGTAAAAATGCACTCATGCACAAATGAACTCCATCAGCACTCCTTCGCAAATGCTCAAGTCTCTTGTCACACAGTACAATCAGGTGTGAGTTTCCTGAAACATATGAATAACACTGTCATATGCAGGTGGAGGGGTTTGTGTAGGGAGGTAGCCTCTGAGACTGCCTTTCCCCAACCAAAAGGACTCTGATTGGCCCATGCTGTAAGGATCTGTCACCGCTGAGTTGGTGCCAGTGGAATTATGAAGCAGTGCAGTTTCGCTCTCGTCCTCTGATCCATTGCTGCCCTTCTTCGGCGGTGGCCGAAAGGTGGAAGCTTGGAAGCTGGGGCTGCGGCCCAGCAGTTCATTAGGGTCAACAGATGTCTGTCTGTGAAGATTTAACGTGGCTCTGCCTGTGCTCTCGTTTAGGTTGAAGCCATTACTGCTGTAGAGACCCATCTGACCATGGAGATTGCGAGACCTGGCAGCTCTTAACCATCGATTAGGACGTGTGGTAATCCTTACTGAGGCTCTGCGCCTGGACATCCACGTCAGGAAGATGAAAATCAGGATTCCAATCAGAAGACCAACCAGCATTGATAAGCAGAAGGCCAGGGTCAGTTCCTCTGAATGAACAAATACGGTTTAACATTCAGTAAATGCTGTCTGAAAGAATTTGATTGGAAGATATTGATACAACTGGACTGATGACATTGCATTTCCTCTTTAGTATGTAAAGGTAAATCCATTCAAGATGTTACTCAGACTTACCAACGTCTATCATTTCTTGTATCCATGAAATGTCCTTGTCATTTTCATTTGCAGCCATGGCATAAATGAACAGAAAGGCAAATCACATGTGGTCAAATCCAAGAGGAGCAGAGCACCCACAAACACTTTCTGTGCTGTTTCTCAGAGGGGCTGGTTCTTTTTTGTTTGCAAAAACGGAAACTTTGCCGTCATGTTTCCTGCTTCTCTGCTTTTAAAATTAGCAAACCCTTGGCTTATCTGTGTGGGACAGAAATCCAAAGGAACAGAGCTGCTTCCTTTCACATCATTTCCTCCGTTTCACTCCATACAATACAATGGCTTCACGCCTGCTTTATGTTATAAGGAAGATTACATCTTCTCTGCTGTTCATTTGATTGGAACTGAACAGTGTTTGAGACAGAGAGTCGGCCTAGACTGACTGCTACTAGGAGTTTGGAAAATGGTCATTTGGAATGATGTTTGGATAACCACAGTCTTTCTCCAGTGTAACTCTTGCTGTTTTATTACAGCCAATGAGAAATTGAGAGTGCCCAAGAACTATCTTCTTACTATTGAGTGTGTAGCCTTCTTTTGCTTCTGGTGTTCTCTGGGAATACCTTTATTTTTAGTATCTACAAAATGAAACTCTTTTAATTGTCTTATATCAGGGGGGTCCAATCTTATTTGCATCTGTAGCTGCAGGTTTTCATTCCAAACAAGCAGGAGCACACCTGATTCCACTTGTTCACTTAATTGCTCAGTCTTCAAAGAACTAATCATGTGTGCTTCTGCTTTGTTGGAATGGAAACCAACAGCCACACCAACCCTTTGTGGATAAGATTTAACAACTCTGTCTTATTTAATGTATTTTTTGTGCAATACACTATAAGCCATCAATAAATTGCCTCTGTTCCATCCTGTCTTGAGCTGGTCAGCTTAAGTTACAGCTACAAGTATTGCATATTTTTGTGATGCTCTCAAGGGAACAAACCATCTTAATTTTAATGTAATTTTTTGTTTAATTAAAGTCAACCTGAAATTGAAATTGATGTTTTTTTACATTGGTAGTTCCTTATCATAGCTTACCATTTAAAAGACACACGTCTTGTTTTCCAGTAATCACCCATCAAAATGTAAATGTATTTTATCACCGCGCACCAGCAGGCAAGGAAAAATAATATTAGTCAATCATAATCAATAATGAGTAATATTAATCAATAATACCACCTCCTCACACCACCCCAACTTATCATCAAGCACAATCACTTACCTAGCTCAGAGACCCTCCCTGATGGCATGTTTCACTTAGTAATACATTACGATGCAGAAGAACATGACAGTGGCATGGTAGTGTGTGTGCTGCTGTGAGTGTATCAGGTACGGTGGTGTTATTGGAGTCTTTAGTCACTTTAGTCACATTTAGCAGCTGCAGCTCTTGTTTTTCTGTTTACAATTTGTGTTGGTCATCCTCTAGCCCTTCATCAGTGGTCAGTTTCAGACCTGTTGGCTGGATATTTTTGGTTGGCGGAATATTCCCAAGCAGTATATTCCCAGCAGTAGCCCTAAATGTAGACATTTAAATATTCAAGTAATGATACATTTTTACCAACACAACACACACTACCATGTCGGTAGCAAAGCTGAGAATGATATGCAACCCAAATAATTTAGGATGCACTGTTATGGGAATTGTGGGCTGATGCTGATATTCATCAGTTTGTTAATGCTGAAAAATAAACATGTATAAGAAGCGTACATTGGGAATATGTATTCGCTTTACAGACAAATATAACATTCTTGTATGGTTGTGGCAAAATGAATAAAATGCATTTTAGCCCAGCATCTTCTAAATGTACAATAAACTTGTCATCAAATATGCAATATCTGTTACATTTAAACATGTCCCATGCTATGTCCTGGTCAGTGGAGATCAAATTATGCATATCTACAAATGATTACAGTCAGTAATTGTATATTTACAAGGTGGAACTATAGGTGTACCTGATAACACAGCTAGTGTACAAGATAGGTGTATTGCTGAATGCTTGTTTTATTTTATAGAGACAGTGAGAAATTGTAGGCTAGGCTTTGCAAAGTAAGCTATGTGCTGATGTATAGAATTTAGATGTGTGATAGGCTGGAATGAGAACCTTTGGGGGGATATGCTGAATTTCTGTGCTTAGAGCAGCTGTGTACACTATATGCCTAAAGTTTGCTCATCCAACGTTTCATAAGAAAAGGGTGTTAATAGGGAGTTTCCCCAGTTTGCTGCCTCTATTCTTCTGGGAAGGCTTTACACTTGATGTTAGAACATTGCTATGAGGGCCACAGTTACATCAGTGAGGTCAGGTACAGATGTTGGATGATTAGTTCTGGATAACAAATACCACTCTGTCTCACGCTAAATCTCTCCATAGCACTTAGCTCCACTCCTCCATAGCCCATTGAGCTTTAGACAGCTCTTAAGTATAGAAAAAAAGTTAATAGAAAAAGTGCAGGACAAGGCTTCATCACCGTTAAGGAAACCGACCCATAGTGCAGTGTTTCTCAACCCTGGCTTTGGAGGCCCACTGCCCTGCACATTTTAGCGCTTTCCCTGCTTCCACTCATAGTTTAACTCAATAATGGGCTATTAATGAGTTGATTAGCTGGTTCAGGTGTGTTGGGAGAAGGGAAAAGACTAAAAAGTGCAGGGCAGTGGGCCTCCACGACCAGGACTGGAAAACACTGCCACAGTCTACTCAGATAACCACTGATGAAGTTATTACATGGACGCACCGCTAGGTGGCGACAATGTACGTAAAGACGGCTGACTGAACACTGTTATAGCGTTTCCATTGGCAACTACGCACAGACGACTGAGGACCCGAGACCAAACTACCTAAACAAATAACTACCTAAAAACAGACTGAGGACCCCCACCACCTCCATTTCGACGTCTGGAAAAAGGTGAACAGTGCTGAAATAATATCACTTCTTTAAAATATTAGTAGTTTTGGCTTCTCACAAGATACGTTTTATACTGTTATTACAGTTCGAACAACTGCAGCGCTAGTTGCTACCAGAGGCTGAACCGCTCTGTTTGAACTCTGCTAATGTAACGTTAACTGCTCAGACTCAGACTCCTGTCGTTGCCCTCAAGGATTCAGAATTTGTGACAAGCTCTACGTTCACCACCACCAGCTGACTAACTTCATATCTGAAATGAAGGGGTGCGGTGGAATAACATGGACCAGGGGGGACTGAATTCTCCAACACATGCCCATGTGTATGTAAGTAGTGGTCGTTCATGTTTGTAATGAGGAAAGTAAGCTACACGTCCTACATTCACATAATGTGATCAAATGATCATTTAGCAAAGCTTACATTGGTGGACATCAACTTTTCAGTGCCTACTGATCTACATTACTCAGTTCAGTCAGTAGTGCTCAGCTGTAATGTGAACGGCTAGTGGATATTTCAAATTGGGCGTTCTGTATATGTGCTGTACTATATTTTCAAAGTCATATGCAGATCACTTTTTTCTCTTGTGCTAAGGACAGTAAAAGGGAGAAGGTTTGTGATTCGACAGTGAAGCAGACACAGCCAGGCCCCTAAAAGAAACTCACTCTCTCATTGGATCCTTTGCAGCAAATCAATTTCCTGGACTCTGCATGAGAGAGAAAGAGAGCGAGCGCTGCAGGAAGACTGAGTGGGGATGCCCTCTTAAACTAGTGCAGTAGCTGTTCTGCTGACTGCTTGAGAGATCCAGTGTGACAGACCCGGGTAACCCACTACTGCAGACGAGGCCATGGCCTCGCTCAGCCCTTTTGGACGGTCCGCCAAGGACATTATGAATGTGATGCAAAGACTGCAAGGTAGGAGATGCTGCCTTCCTGTTTTTTATCTACTGTAACCAATCCCTGATTCGGTTGGTCAGGGTGAGATTTTGCTGATTCAGTGGCTCCTGGCTTGAGGTTTGCCAGATGCTTGTGTCACGCAGACAAGAATATACCCTTCATATAACACCCCATATGTGTAATAGTGACAGACATTTCAGCAGTTATTGATCCATAGCGAAGACAACTACTCTGGCTGACATTACTCTGTTCATTCATTCTGCATTCTTTTAATGCAGTGGTTCCTCTGGTCCTGGAGTACTACTACTCTTCTCTGCTTTAACACACCCAGTTCAGCTCACGAAAGGCTAGTTAATCATCTGATGATTTAAATGAGGTGCGGTGTGAGCATGGAAAGCACTAAAATGTGCAGGGCAGGGGTACTCCGGGAACAGGTTACAGGGCTAATGGCTTTTTGCATTGTCCATTCACCAGTGAGGTACTTGGCAATGCATTCTTTTGCTTTTAAGCAAATAAATATTTAATATTTATTTGATTATTTGTTTAGCACTGGCGCTGACCATGGGCTCTGCAGGAGGTGGCTAATTTAGTTTAGAAAGGAGAGATGGGATTGACAAACCTGATTTCAAGAATTCTTAACTCTCAGTCAAATGATAATCTTGTTAGTAATGAATGAAAACTTGGAGTCACCTGGGATTACGCAAATAAGACCATGCTATCCTTTTATCACGTTGTTTTGTTAAAATATTCCTGTAAAAGATGACCCTGTGGCACAGCAGCAAGGTGTCTAGACTGACTGGTGCTGGCTGTCTGTGCTGCAGTGCTGTAGGACACGCCAGGCTTCAAGTCCCAGCATACACAGGGAGGTGTTGGGAGGTGTGAGGGGCCTCAGTTTTATTCTTGGACAGGACTCCAGTTTATTTCTGGGCAAAATCATGTGTTCTTGCTGCCAGATTAATGCATGATTCAATTGAATTAAGTCAGAGGTGGATCACAAGAAGCTGTACTCATAAAGCTACAGTGCACTGCTCTGTTGAACTGTCCCAGATAAGACTCTTTTTCGAAGAAAATCTCACTGAGGTTATTGCTTAAGGAACATATTTAATAAAAGGAATGGCGCTTATTTATTAGGCAACGCTTTCATTTCCTCTATGTTTAGCTTAAGCACCGAGTGCAGTTTTTCACTCCTCCCTCTGAGCTCAGTGAGCCGTGTTTTTGCTTACTTTCGGTTTACGAAGTTGTGCTGCGAAGGAAGTAGTATAAAGTTTTCATTTCACACTTTGGTCACCATGGAGAGCCAAGCTTTGACAAACCTACATTGCCCAAGCTTCCTTTGATGACTCTGACATGCATATCCTCTGTCACAATGTCACAGT